ATCCATGACAGCGGTGCCCAACTATCCGCACCGTCTGCAGGAGGCCAACATGCCCATTCTGGACATGGAGCTGTGCGAACAGATCCTCGCACGCTCCGGTCTCCAGCTGCACGAAACCAATCTGTGCACTGGTCCACTGACTGGAGGCGTTAGTATCTGCACCGCCGACTCCGGCGGACCGCTGATCCAACAGTGCTGCGAGGAGCACTTCGAGCAGGCCAACATCGTCATCGGCATTGTGTCGTGGGGCAAAATGCCCTGCGGCCAGAAGAACGCCCCCTCGGTTTTTGTTCGCGTTTCCGCCTTTACGGATTGGATCAACCAGGTCATCAGCACGGCCACCCAGATCATGTAAGATGATCATCGGAATGATAGGACTTTGGAACATCTTACCCCCCACGAGCTCGAATGTCAAGATATCGAAAAATTAAAAAAAACAAAAGATACAAAAAACCCAAAGAAAAATTCTCTAGATAATCTCACTAGGCAAATAAGCTGAGCAAATATAAAATTATTGCCCAGATTCCTAATTAAAAACGTATTTTAAGCCAATAAAAACATGAATAAAGTTGTGAACAATTAAGTAGAACAAAAACCTCCAAAGCCTTTTTATTTTTAGCTAATCTAATTAAACAAATAGGAATAAAAATAGGATAAGTATGCCCCAATTCCAGCTGGATCACATGAAGAGAGATTGTCTGACCAAATAAGCTCAACAAATAAGAACGAAAATAGATCTGAACTTGAAGTTCGGATTTAATTTAATTGCGCAGATTTAATAAGAAAAGTGCGTACGCACTCTAGTCAATTTGGGACAAGTCGAAGCTAATTGTGAAATAAGCTAGGGCCCTCGGGAAGATAAGAATTCGCGATATATTCTGATTCTGTTGCTGGGCGGGGAGCAGGTGGAGTTTTGGGGGCAAAAACACAACCGCCTTTCGCCTTTCCACGCATTAGTCATGCTCCCGAGCAACGACTGGCCAAAAAAAAAGGGAAATGGAGAGCATGTTACGACTGTCAGATTAGGATCTACGAGTAGATTAGCAGAAAGCTCGTAAAGACCGCTAAATTGGGGCCATCAGCTGACTACTGGATGATTGACAGTCATTTGGGGACAGCCTGCGCGAAAATATGGCACTGTTTACTGCCATGAAAATTGGGTCTAGACATCTGAAAGAGCAAGCTCGTTGAACTTTGAGTCCAACTGTTGCACTTTGAGCCCTTAAGAAATGTGTAATTGGCGAAGCAGCAATGTATAATTCCGCATTTCCAGGAATTATCACTTATTTCATTTAACAGATGGCTCAAATATTGTTCGGTAAAGAAGCACCAAAAACAACACATTATGTATGCAAATTTGATGGTGCGATCAATTACCAGGTATTTTTGTTGGTAAAGATAGAGAATAAAATAAATTAACCATATTTTTTCAGATAGGAAGGGGTATAAATTAATAATCCCTGACTTTTGACTTTTGTAACTGTTCAGCTTTAATTATTTTTGGTAATTTGTATATCCCTATTGTAATACAAAAGTATTATCTTTAAATTATATACGCATGTCGCCCAGAATGTTAGAGTTTTAAAAGTATTTATATATATCTCTTCAATGAGTACAAAATCTATCAACATAAATCTACCAGTGCATGCGCCCATAAATTCCTTAGGAAAAGTACTTGAAAGATTGGGATCTAAAATAAGTGGTTATAGAGCCACATGCATGGGACGCATCCCCTACTAACAGCCAGGACTTACATATCGATTCATTATGTGATCATGTGAGATTACAAATCCATTTATGGATATTAAGAAGCAAAGTTGAAAACAGAAAATTGCGTCGTACTTGCTCACAAATTAAAATTCGCATTCCTTCAATGCCGTGGACACGTCTTTCAAAATTAGATTAGATAAATGCCCCCAACCCCTTGACCAAATTCGATCAACGTATTTTTGCCTTGTCAGGATGTTGTGAGAGGTTAATTTTATGGCGTAGCACGTGTTTTTTTAACACGTTAAAATTCTTTCACCTGGTTTATTGGAAATTGCATTTGAAATCAAAAATGTTCCCCTAAGACAATAGTGAAATCGGTAATCATTAAAAAGGCAGCTTTACAATGGATTAATACAATCTATTGATAAATCAAAAAATGTAATTTATTGCATGTACATACATACATATAAGGATAATGAAGTTTAAAATGTGAACTCTAGGAATACAGTGCAATTGCAAGTGCAAAAATAGAACGTTATCTCTGTTTTTGTTTTTGCAAGGCAAACTTCGATTTCGATCGCTTTATTTGCATTTACATGGCCTATATCTAGCAATTAACCTGGGACATGATTTTCACTGTCAAGGAATTTTTCGGTTGCGTTGCTTTGTTTATAACTTCCCTGCTTGATTTGTTGGCTCCGATTGGACCCCATTGGTGCTATTGTATATTTACTTGACACCCACTACAGCTACTAGACGTCACTAGTTACTCTACGAATTTTGACGTAGCTGATTTTGAATCTTATTTATGACGTCCGTCTCTCGAGGGGTGAAGCACCATTCAAAACTTGACATGTGCTCGTACTTTTCCGAGGAATTGATCTAATCCGTTTATGGAGGACCACGACCAAGGCTAACTCAGGTAGATAAAAGAAGATTAAGACTGCAGACCTACTTTCATAAACCTGCAGCCTTGGGAGAGAGGATATATGCGTGTGTTCTTCTTGTAGTAGGTAACCGAAGTTGCACTCAAAACTAAGGCGAAATTTATAAATACGGGATTGTGTATAGTAGTAATGCGATCTTAGGGAATTTTGGGAACTTTTAATGATCCACATTTATTTTCGACAAATTTTTTCCTATTCTAATATTTATTTTCATGAAATTATTTGGTTTTTGTAATACTTTCCGAATTAAATTTTAATTTAGATAACCAGATAAGTTTTTTTAAAATTCTGTAATTTTTTGATTTAGGTAAAACTTAAATAAAAATCCTCTTTTAGAAACATATTTTGTAATATTATAATTTTTGGTCTTTTTAAAAAATGTCACTATTTTTTAAATAAATTTTATTTATTTATTTAAATTATATTTTTTCTTTAATAATATTTATTCATTTCTGAGCTATATACTGAAAGATTTTATGCGGGATTTTCTATTATAATGGAATTAATGGAAGGTCAATATGTTTATTCAAGTGAAAGTATTTCAGAAACTAAAAAAATACCCCCTGTATTTTCAATGCTAATATTTTGCCTTTTAATACATTTGTACATAGGCACCCGTGTATTATTAATCAGCTGCCCCTCCCTACCAGCCCACTTGCCTTTAATTATGCACTTGCACAAGGACGATGACTCCCACTCAATGGACCAGAGAAGGGAATTCTCTTTGCAAATAGCCAACAAAGAGAGGCAAATACGGCATTGAAAGGCCATATAATGCGAATTAGTTGGGGACTTGCGAACACCCCGAAAATCACCTACACAACTTGCATTTTTGCACAAAAATAATGTAAATACTTAGCTTTGCTGGCAATCAATGACAGAGCGAGTTGGTTAAGAGAGCCACTTAAGAGAGAAATCCCACTCTTTACATAAAAACCCCACTTAAGAGAGGGGCAAAAGAGCACACAAACTCACCTTCTTACGGAGTTTCCCCCGAATGTGACACAGGCGTTTGACGCCATCGAAGCACATTGCCTCCAGACGACCGTTGCCCAGCATCTTGGTCACCTGCGCGTACTCCTGCTGGTCCTCCTTGAAGATCAGCTCTCGCTTCTCGAACTCGTTCTCGTTCTTACCACGACGACGGTTCTTGCCACCTTTTCCTTTATTCTTGGGCATCTCTTTGCTGTTTGCTGCTGCGGCTGCTACTGTTGTTGTTGTCTGCGGGGGTGTTGTTGTCGACGCTGATGCGGGAACAAATCGAAACCGTTAATCACCGACTGCACTAGGCGGGAATGAATGTTACAAACATATCTGGCACGAATGCGTCAATTTAGCCGTTCTAAACTTACAATTTTGTCAAATGTAAATGTGACAATTTCGCCTCGCTAAAGTGAAAAGGACTAGAGGTGGGCGGTTCCGCGCGGAACCAGAGTATCGAACTGGCTTTATCGATAACAGCGAAGAGTCTGGCACCACCGTAGCTAGTTCACCCTCCACACTGAGCGAGAACACGATCCGAGATCCGGTAGCGAGAATACTCCCTACCATAACCGGAGACACTCTCCATAGTTAGTGGAGACACTATTTGCGGTTAATAAAGACTTACTCTGCAGTTGGTGTGGATACGAACCATTTCGAATGTGTATGGATAGTATCGATTAAATTTACATTTTTCCATTATTGTTCTCTTGCCGTAACTTCGCTATTCGAAAATAGTTATATTGTGGATCCATCGGCGACAGCGATGGAAGGGACAGGATGATTTCCTGGTTGTAAATCGAAACTATCGAAACAAAAGCAAAAAATTTAAGCTGTGAATGCCACTTATTTAGCAATTTAATGTAGAATTAAACATTTGACAAACACAGGGTATTGATTAACATTCCAGCTTGATTACAATCATTTTTTGACCGATTTTTACATTTTTCATTAGGTTACATAAGGTTACTCGGTATTTTTCTTGGAAAAGTATTCAAAATGAATTTTTCATCTGTGAATGCGAATTGATTGAAAATTTCACAACGAATTAAATGATCATTATTGACCAACATTTTTTCAAAATTTTTTTATAAAAAACTGACTGCGAGGTCATTATAATGTTGGTAGAAGTTTACAACGCAGGGGAGAAACACTTCATTCACAGGTTGCGGTGCTTACAGGAAATTATTCACAAATTGAATAGTTTATCGGCCTAAAAACTAAGATTAAAAATAATTGTTCCTCCATGAACAGCTTTCTTGAAATTTAACGATTCACTCGTTTACGGAATACCCTTTATTAAAAAATATAAAAATATATTTTTGGGAAGAATGGTATTTTTAATCGTTTTCGGCGTGGTAACACTGGACATAGAAAAATAAACGTTGGCGGAGGATTCTCTGATCCTTTGTTTTGGACAGGATGCACCAGGCCTACAGTGTGCACTCAATCCTTAAGCAGGGCGTGCAGATAGAGTCCATAGCGGCGTATGGTGAGTGGGAGTTACTCGAGAGCCGTACCATTACTCACCGCGTGCATCATCCCAATTCCAGGCAACCATGTCATTCTGGGCACCCGGAGCGGGCAGCTCATCATGTACTCCGTGGACAAGGAGACCGGCGTGGACATGCGGATGTTCAACAAGAACTTTAGCCGGAAACCGATCACTCAGATGGAGGTAATTGGCGCGGAAAACTTGCTCTTTGTGCTTACCGACTACCAGGTGCAGGTGTGCGACATTAGCCGGATCGAAAGCAACTTCGCCTTCATGCATAGTTCCCCGGATACGAAGGGTTGTACGTTGTTCACCATGGACGTGGATTCTCGGAAGTCGACCACCGGCGATGTGGCCACCTTCATTCGGGTGTGCTGCGCCATTAAACGTCGCCTGGTGTTCTTCTTCTGGAAGCAAAACATTCTGGCCTCCCTGAAGCTGAGCATTGATCTAAGCGACGTGCCCCGGACTTTGTGCTGGGTGGGCCATGCCGTCTGCGTGGGCTACAAGGACGAATATGTAATCTACGATGTAAGAGATGCTTTTAAATTATGGTATATTGTGTTTTGATGGCCCACATTTTGTTTTACAGATTTCCAGCAAAACTCCCAAGAAGCACGATCTGTTCCTTACATCCTCCAGTATCAGCAGGGATCCCTGCATCTGCCTCATCCGGAACAACATGCTGGGTATCTCCAAGGACAGCTACCTTGTGGTGGTCGATCCCAGTCGATACAAGGATACCGATGGAACAAACAGCTCCACTGAGGTGCGACCGGGTGGCATGGAGACCAACAGTTCCCTCACTCCTCTGCTGTGGACAAGTCCCTTGCTAGATTTGGGTAGAAAGCAATCTCTATTTTATAATTTTACATCCCTTAACATATTTTTTCACGTATAGTGTGGGATGAGCCATATGCCGTGGGTCGGACCAACAATGCTATCGAGGTGCGCAGTTTGGTGGGCAGGGACACCCTCGTGCAAAGCATTCCCGAGCTGCAAAAGACCAAATTCTTAGTTCATGCCGACAAGGGCACCATCTTTGCTGCCGCCACCTCAGAGCTTTGGTGCATCCGACTTGTGGAAATTCCCATCCAACGTCAACAGTTGCTCCAGCAAAAGAAATTTCAACTGGCCATTGAGCTGACGGTAAGTAGGCATATAAATCCAAACAAACGAAGTATCCTAGTCATTTATATACATTTTTTAGGAAATATCCGAAGAACCGGCGAAGGATAAAGCCCAAACCATTCGCCAGATTCACATGCTGTACGCCAAAGAGCTTTTCACCAATAAGGAGTTCTCTGCGGCTATGAAGGAGTTCGAGAAGGCAGCCATCGACCCCTACGACGTAATAAGACTGTTTCCCAACTTGGTGCCTGAGCCGAAACCCGGCAATGAGGACGCAACCGTGCCCATTTCTAGTACTCCTGCGCTGGAGGATGGCGACCTGGAGAACGCTTACTTGGCACTGATCGAGTACCTGGCCCTGGCCCGCCAGAGGGAAGTTGTAAAGCTTCGAGACACCAAGAGTAGTTCAAAATCATTGCTAGAGATTATAGATACTACATTGCTGAAGTGCTATCTGCAGACGAACGACTCCCTTGTGGCGCCACTTCTTCGACTGAACCAATGCCACTTGGAGGAGTCGGAGAAGACGCTGAAGAAGCACAACAAGATCTCGGAGCTGATAATCCTCTATCAGATGAAGGGCAAGCACAAGGATGCGCTTCAACTCCTCCAAGAGCAGTCGAGCATTGAGGGGTCAGTGCTGCAGGGTCGAAAGCGAACCATACGTTATCTGCAGGAACTGGGCACTGATCATCTGCCGGTGATCTTTGAGTTCTCTGATTGGGTGTTAAATGAGCATCCTGACGAGGGGCTTTCCATTTTCACTGACGAACTTATCGAGGTGGAGTCCCTGCCGCGTGCCAAAGTTCTAGACTTTCTGATTAGCAAACATAAGGCACTGGTCATTCCCTATTTAGAGCACCTGATCACAGTGTGGAAGGACAGCAACACCCTGCTTCACAATGTGCTCATCAAGCAGTATCTTGAGCAGTTTCAGCGTCTTCTTGCGCAGCAGGATAAAGGGTGAGAATCTAGTCATACTACTGGGCTAAAATGTTGTTATAATCAACTGTTTTTTAGAGAGGAAGTTTCCAACCTAAAACCACTCCGCGCCAAGCTCTACAAGATGCTGGAGGAATCCAATGACTATTCACCGGATCGCGTCCTAGAGCAATTCCCCACCAATATGCTGCTGGAGGAGCGCGCACTCATCCTGGGCCGGCTCAAGAAGCACGACAAGGTGCTATCAATCTATATCCATGTTCTGGGCGATGTTGGCAAGGCAACGGCCTATGCGGAAGCCAACTTGAACGATGATGAAAACATATTTCACACATTAATTAAGTGTATATTGGTACCACCCACAGAGCCGCCCTATGAGGGCGTTGCGCTGCATCCAGATTTCGTTCAAGTTAATCGAGAAATGGCTTTGCAAGTGCTGAATGACCACGCTACAAAAATCGATCCATTTGAGATCTTTGAGGTAATTTTAACATACATATCTTATTAATTATGAATGCTAAACACTCTCCGTTTCCGGCAGCTTCTTCCCGACGACCTGCCCATGCCCCAGTTAGAAAAATACCTGGAGAAGTCGATTCGCAAGAAGTTATCTGACAAGCACCAGATGCAAATGATGTGCGGCCTGCTGGAGGCGGAGGCGAAACGTCTGGAGTCAGCGGTGGAAGCGCAGCGAAACATTAGTTTCGAGCTGAACGAGTTCAGCGTGTGTCCCGAGTGCAAGAAGCGCTTACCCAGCCAGTCTGCCTTTGTGCGCTACCCAAACGGGCAGATCGTTCACCTATCCTGTCACGATCGCATCGCCAGGGCGGCCGCTCAGCAATAAATATAAAATACTCTTTTGTGATATCTGATCAAAGTATAAATGGCGAATTAAATGTAACTATGTATATTATTATAACTTCTTTGATGAATTGATGTTACTGAAACTTTACTTTGGCAGTATACATTGAGGGATCCAATTATTTGTATCTTCCATGTTTGGTTTTAAATTATTTAATAAAATTGTTAAAAGACACGCAGAGGTAAAGAAAACCCATATTTGACACATTTATTTGGCTATATTTACAGAAAACTGGGCTTGCACTGACATGGACTTTAGGCCTCTTCGCTGCCATCCATGAGGCTATCGCCGTCGAGGGAGTCGTTGCAGATAGACAGATCGGACTCAGATTGAGCACGACTCATCGATGGCATGGCGCCGGAAAGCGACAGCGAATGCTTGCTGTCCTCGTTATCTTCCTCCTGAAGGCTGGGCGAAGCTGCACTACATCCGGTTGTGAGCTCCGTAGACGCAGAGTGAGCGGCGCTGACAGCCACCGAGACCTGATTGCCCAGTATCGCCGTGCCCGGCAGCTGAGTCTGCCGTATTAAGGCGAGCCGCTGCTGAGTGAGCTCCAGGTGATGCTTGCGCCACTTGATCCGCCTGTTCTGGAACCACACCTTCACCTGTGCCTCCGTCAGCTTGAGTGTGTGGGCCAGATAGAGCCGCTCGGGCCCTACCATGTATTGCTGCCGTTCAAACTCCGCCTCCAGGCACTCCAACTGCTCCGGCGTAAAGATTGTCCGGACGCGCTTGTTCTTCAGCGCGCTTTTTTTGTGTGAGTCTGGAGAATAACGATAGGGTGAGATAGGAGTGAGATTACAACAGTTGAAGTTGAAGTCAGACGATCAAATTTGAACAAAAAATTTACTCTTACATATATGAGGGCCATAAACTTTCATAGAAAAACAAAAATAGTTAAATGCAATGTTAAATGTTTAAATTGAATTTTCGTCTATCAATAGATAATATGGTATAAAAGAAGACAGAGAGGCGAATATATGACTAAACCTAAAGATATAATTATCTTGCTAAAGGCTTCACAGCGTTTTTTTATATATATATAATAAAACATTTAAAGACTTAACCATGAAATTAAAAAAATAATTTTTTTTTTCAATATTATTTTGTTATAGGCCATGTTTAGATTGAGAGTTCGCTTTAACAAGAAGCTGTGTATTTTATTTAATTGGTCAATGAAACACCAGGGAGCTATTTTTCTTTAAGGTATATTCGGCTGTTCTACAAACAAATTATCTGAAGCAGGTATCTTTATGCCTTAAAAATCGCAGTATTCAATATTTAGTCTACAGTGCACCTGCTTACCCGACTTGAGTTTCTCGCGCTGAAAGCTTAGCGTGGCCTGCTGCTGGGCGTGGTGTTGCTGGTGGAGCTGCTGCAGGCTTTGTAAAGCGGAGGGAGCTGCTCCCACGGCGGCGGCCACAGCGGCGAATCCCGACTGATGGGGATGCGGATGTCCGCTATGCAGGTAACGTCCACTGCCGGCACCACTATCACAATTGAAGTTGTTTACACTCTGGCTGCTGTTGTTGCCTTTGTTGTTATTGTTGTTGTTGCTCGTGTAGCACTTGTTGTTGTCGTCTCCGTTGTTGTTGTCGTGAAGGGACAGATTGATGGCATTGTTGTAGTCCTTTCGCTGGCTCTGCAGGCCCAAAATGGCGGCGATGGTAAAGGACTTGCCCATGTCGAGGGAGGAATGCGCCGCTGCCGCCTCAATGAGCTGCGCGTGCGACGTCGCAGTGGCAGCCGCCGCCAACTGTTCCCGGTGGTTGCTGTTGCTGCTGTGGCAGCTATTGTTGCTACTGCTGTTGCTGCTTGTGTTGCTGTTGCCGGTGGTGTTGTTGCTGCCAGTTGTCGGTGGGTGGTGGCCATCCAGGTGGGGTTGGTGGATTTGCTGATAATGATGTGGCTGTTGCAGCTGATGATGATGTTGCTGCTGGTGCTCCATTTGGTATGAGCTCTGACCCGCCGAGACGGCGGCTGCCGCTGCTGCAGCCGCTGCCAGCGCTGCCGAGGGCAGCGCATGATGCGGTTGACCATGTGCCGGGATGCCCCCTCCCAGACTCCCCAGTCCGCCGACCCCTGACCCTCCGCCGCCACTGGCTTGTGTGTTATGCAATGCCAGGAAGTGCGACAAGGGATTTGCGTGATATTTGGAAGGATTCTGCAGCATGCTTAGGTATTTGCCACTGTCTCCAAGTTGTCGACTGCCCCCAGGACTCGTTCTCTGCAAATGGAAGAAATGGGAGATGCCACAGTTTAATTGTTGCTTAGTTGCCGAGTTGCAGCGGTTTCCAAATGTCAACGACTCCCTGATTAAATACACAATTAAGTGAAATATGATCACAGCCATGAGAAGTTACTCTACCATGAAGTGTTTGGTCAGCAGTGGTATGAGATGGGACAATGGAAGGTTAGGACGACCCCTCCCTTGGCACCTTTCCCTACGCACAGCAAAGAAACCTGGCAATAATTTAAGAAACTTTTCCTACAACTTTAAAAATAAAAAAATGCCTATGTGCTACATAAAAATATCATCTAGTTTAGAGAATTTATAGTTTTTATGTTCAAACTATGTAATTTATTAAAAAAAAAATGTAAATGATAGTTCTGATTTTGAAAATATTTGCTTTAATAAAATCTTTAGACAATTTCGAAAAGTTTTTGGTTTTACATCTATATACTTCTACAACTATATTTTCACTACAAAAGTTAGAGCAGATGGTATATTCGACATATTTTTGAAATGGTTTATTAGGTGATATTTTTTCCGGTGCACCATTTCCAATTCGTACTCAAAGCAAATGCATTCATTTGCTTAATTGCTGGTCCTCTCGCTTGCACTTAGTTCCCAGTTAAACCTGAATCGGTGGCAATGTGATAGCCTAATTGAGACTTTGTCACAGTTTGCTGCTTTATTGTGGCTGCTGCTTATGCTGGCAATGAAGTTACTTCTCCAGGTGCGTGAACCATCCCAAATCTCAGCCATCCACTCAGTTGTCTCCTATTGTTTGCGTTGTTGGCCAAATATGTGAATGTCTCAAGCTGCATTTAAGCTGATTTGACTAAACAGCTCCAGTTGACGTCGTGTGCGAGCCAAATGAGCTTCATTAGGAGAATGCAAATTGGGTGTAACAAGTGGATTTCACACACATTCCGGATTGGAATTTCTGGGGACATAAACTAGCTGCATTAGGTTGGTAGCTCTGATTCGGCAGAGAAGGTAAATATAGCCTTTTTCGTTTCATCTGGTTCACATTGGTGTTATTTAAAAATATTTCTTAAAAACTGATGGTTAAAGGCTAGTTCTCTTTTCTTTATTTAAGACAACAACAAATTATTAAGTTTATATAGCTTTTATTTAAAAGTTAGGTTAAGCTTAACATGGAAATGAGAAAACAGGTAAAATCTTTCAAATCGTTATTTTCGACAAAACCACTTTATAATTGCAAAACTAAAATAGTTGAAGATATAGAAATTAGTTTGTTGATAAACCCTATTTGTTTATATCATTTATTAAACCAAATTTCCAAAAGAAACTTAAATTTATTGAAGAAAAGACACTTCATGTATAAATGAAATGTTGTTGAACAAAGATTTTGTATTAAAAAGCTATACAATTTAGGAAAACACTTCTAAATTAATTTGTTTTTGTTGAGTTGACTAATAATTTAAATAACTTTATCATTGTATGAACCACACAACAAATAAATGAAATCAATGTTTGTAACTTAAAAAACCAAGCCTGGTATAGAATTGAAAGCTTCATATAAGTGAATATTTATGTTTAAACATCATAATCAGGTTTTAAACACTTTTACTCCTCGATTTTTTATTTGATTTAATGGATTTATTATTAATTGTCCAAAAAGTTTGGGTAGGTTTCTTTCTGAATAAGAACGCTGTCAGTTCTTGGCTTAGACAAAAAATACATTTTTATTGCAACATATACAAACCTTTTCTAAAAATACAATTCAATGTACATTCATCCAATTTCAGTGGCGATCCGCAAAAAGGTAATCCAATAAATATCCAATATTCCAGTGCAATATTCACATTAACTTCCGGAAAATAGAATTCACTCCGGAAAATCAGTTTTTCCGACGGCACTGCACAAAGTGTTGCCTACAGTTCTGCGCCTTACGGTTGGCTCTAACGGAAATCGCACAAGAAATCCAAGTGGAAATTGGGGAAAACTTTTGATATTCGGAAACGCATGCGAACGCGAACGTGTTGCAAACTGAACTGAACTCAAAAGTTCGTGGCCGTAAAATTTTTACAATATTGGCAGCAGCCGACGCCGGCAGCGCCGTTAATTTTGGCAGCGCTGCTTTGGCGTGACTGTGTGAATACGTGTGCGAGTGAGCGATACTTTTTGTGGGTGTGCGTGAGCTGCCGTTGTGATTTTTCTAGCCGCTTCCTTTTGCGTTTTTTGCTCTCAACTAGGGTTGTCAAATCTGTTAGGTTTTACTTTTTTATATATAAGTAAATCTGCTGTTACCCAAGTTTTTATTTTTTGATTGCGTAGTTATGTGATTGAATTGTTTTTAATGTTTTCAAGAGTTCTACTTTAAAATGTGTACTTAATTTGTGTCCAAAGCATCAAGCCATTTTTTAAACAATTTTTATTATATATTTATGAGCTACATATTCCGCATAGTTTTAACATAAGCTTGACAACCCTGCTCTTAACTTAGAGCAGAGCCATTGAAAGAGGGCAACGAAGTAAAGAAGAAGGAGATGTAGAAGTGGCATAACAACATCGTCAACCGAAGCCTCACCATCATCATCGTCATTATCCAGGAGCAACCCCCATGCAGTTACATAAAAAGAATTCACCCACCAAAGCGAATAACCCACCGACCAATCTACCACCCACCACCCAAACCACCCACCTATCAGAGCAACCTTGCCCACACCCATTTGGGGGCGAGTGTATGAAAAGTTATTGAAATTATGATATAAATGGATAATTGGTTCACTTATTCTGTCTCCCTTGCTCATGGCAAAATGGGCGGTACCAAAACCAGGATAAAAATTAATGAAAAACAATATGGCGACGCTGTGAATAAGTGGAAAACTCACTGTAGTAGGGCTATGTCGCGACAGACAAAATTAATGAAGCAATAAGCGACGGAAATGTCGTAATATGTAAGTAAATATCCAGATTTATAAAGTGAAGCAGGAGAAATAGTAATGGTAGTGAAAAAAAGGAGAGAGGAAATTAATGTTGATTATTACGTAAAAAATAAGAAATTCACTTGTTTTTTACACCTTCTTTCGTTTGTTAAACAAACTCAGGACATTTCTAATACATTTTCCTATTAACTCTTTGTCATTTAAACTAGATGTATTTTTTTTGTGCTTTTAATTTAGTCATAATTTATCCTAAAAAGTAGTTGTTTTTTTTAAATAAATTAGTTTTATAAACTCGTAAGAGAACTACTTTTTAAAACAAAGCTACTTCCCAAATATGACATTATAAAATCCCAATGGAGTATTTTCACTCATATTGAAGTAAAGATTTTTTAATGGTAAATAATAATAATTACATTCTTAGCTGAAAAGGGAAATTCGATTATTTTGTGTGCCAACTCATTCTCAGGCGAAATCGAAACTAATTTGGTAGCGGGTAGTCAAACTATCTTCAGCCGCAGCGCACACCCAAAACTCAACCCCAATTGCTCCACCCCTTTTCCACCAAGTGGGTCTTCAATTTACCGTTTGATAAACTACCAGGAATGCCAACGATCATTACGAGCGGAAATGGCGGACACAGAAAGACGAAGGAGGCCCCAATTAGCGGCCCATCAAAGTAAATCAATGCAAGAGAACGTTCAATGAAAAATCCCAAAAAAGAACAAAGCAAATGACTGATGGCGAGCGTACACAGGAAACAATATTAAAAAAAAAGTTTAATTTACATACAAATATTTTTCTGCAATTAATATTGTTTAATAAGTTCTTTAAAATTTTATTTCGGATACCTCTTGTTTTTTAACCATGGTTGAATCACATTTAAATTATCTTTTCTCGGATGTTGCTTTGAAAAGTTATTATTTAAACAATTAAACATGAGTAAGCGTATTCCTTTTTTGTTAATAAATTTTAGGACAACTCAATTTGTATAAAATTTAATTTAAATAAATTTTCTTGTAAAGAGTTATTAAAAAAGTTATTAGGATAGAAGTAATTCTAACCCACCTAACTTGTTTTTATTCTTGTACAAATGGAATTCTTAAATAATGTGTAATTTGGTTTTATGCAAAGGAAAATAAATTGATCAAAATTGGCTTGATGTATGTACAACTTTTCATTCCTCTTACAAAAAACCAAAGAGAGACAAATTCAAAAATCAAAGCCAGGAATTTTCAGCCAAAAAGGGCGAGGGGTATTTGGGGTCATAGAGATGGGGATGGAGAGGATCCTTTCGGGTGCTTCGGCGTCACGTTTGTCGTTTCAATCATCATTAGTGCTAATGTACCCACAAGAATTGGCCAGCCACTTGGCGCTAACGTCAACGTCGACGTCAACGCAGAAGTTGGCGTTAGCGTCGGCGTTTAGCAATGGCGGCCACAGCAGACCAAAAGAGAGAGCCGTGAAAAGAGAAAAAGGATATCTCTTTTAATCGGACAGAAAACGCTTGTCTATACATACTTTTTATATACTTAAATATTTCTTTTTCATTTATTTACCACAATTTTAATATTTTTTGAGGTGAAAACAACAAAAACAATAGCAAAACCCCACAAACACCCTACAAACACACACATATGTACATTGTGTTGCAATGCGCATGCTTTAAATATAAGAGAAGAGAGAGGTGGCAGGAAGCCCTCTGCCGCCATCGCCATTGTTGTTGTGCTTTTGGCCTTTTGATAAACTTCGTCGTCATCGTTGTTGTTGTTGCTTTAGGGACGAGAGATAAAATGAGATGAGAGGCATAATGATGATGATGTCGCTTTTGGGCGCTTGGTGGGTGAGGCGGAAATAGGGAGTGGGAATGTGCAAGAGCGTTGCCATAACCATAATATTTATTTATTTTTATTAAATAAAAACTCACCCGCACACAAATTTTAATGTTATCCAATAAATAAAACACAAACAAGAGGCAGAGAAACTTTTTTCATTATGAATTATTACGTTGAAAGTGCCAGGAAGTAGGAAAAAAGGGCGAAAGGAGAAAGACAGGCTCCGCAATCTGCCAAATAAAATTACCGTTAGTCCGGACACAGGGCTGTATCGCGGGATTCATTATGGTAACTACTCTGAATATTTTTTGTGATGCACTTTCAACCTGTAAATTAGTTGATTACAATTTAAAGTTCCTTAAACTCTTAAAAATGTGAACTCTAAAAATGTATTTCTTTTTGCAACACGTTGTGCATACGTGTATTACCATTAAATTTCAAAACCCTGCGAAGCATAAATAACTAAATATTTTTTTTTAGTGTTTTAGACTAGCTGACTTTTTTTTAGATTTTTAATATGTTCACATCACTTTTTTTGCTGTATAACATGGTGTACCTTTCATTATTGTATTCAAGCTTCAAGGTTATCGTAAATTTACATCTTTTAGAGATAAGAAACTTTAAGTTTTTAAAATTAGTCATACAAAATTTAATTTTGTTTTGCTTGCATGTAAATATTTTATATTATTGGTTGATAAGTTAAACTTGCATCACATAATAGCTGAGGTAAAAAAACACTTTCTGTACTTTGTGCGTGCTCCCCTGCTATCCTTTCTCATTTGACGAAAATATTTTTATTATTATGGAGCCGCATAACGTTGTGGCACAAACACCCACACACAGAGTAGCAGGAACAAAGTACCTAAGCTGCACCAACTTAATCCTCTGGCCACCACATCCTTCCCTTTCTTGGCTGTATCTCTTGGTGGAGCTTAATTTTATTAGCCCTCTTCCTTGACTTGGCTTCACCCCCGGATGGCAGCATTCATTTGCCGAGAAGAACATCATCATGATGTTGTGCACCCAGCCTCTTCCGCTCTTTGCCCATCAACTGCCGCCCCTTCTGGTCGTCCGGCCCCCTTTTTCTTGGCCACTGGCTCACAACAAAATGGACTCAAAAATGCGAGAGGAGCAAAACATTTGCGGCATGTTTTTAATAATGTTGTTTATAATGTTGATTTTTCCTCAATTTTATTTCCTCGTTTTTTCCACATTCCCCCATCCATTTCTTTTTGATGTATTTCCACAGAATTCCTTTTATGGGTCGAAATAAATGAAATGTTAATCTCTTTTTTACGGCCTCGCATTGGGAAAATACTTTATTGTTTGCAACTTTATGGCTATTGAATTTTTAGAGACCTCTCAAATCGCTAAATCAAAGCCAATTCAAAAACTAATTACAAAATCAAAACTTATAATGAGCGGCAAATTAGAAATTTTTCGATAGCCCTCAAAATCAGGCAACAAACGGCCAGCAAATCAGGTGAAAGGGCAGCCATTTTGGGATTTTAATTAAATCCGGCTATTCCGGTGGCTCTTCCGCCGCATTTACTGCCACTTGAGTGTGTATGCAACCCGCTCTTGGCCATATTCAAAATGAGTTTTTGGTCCCGGTTTGGTTTTTGGCCAAAACGGTGCACTCTGTGCTGATGGCGAGCCACTCAAAACAAATATTTTCGGCCCCCTCGACTGTTTTTCGGTCCGCCAAAAATTAATTTCATTTTTTGATTCAATTTTGCTATGGCAAAAATAATGCAAAACCTAAACTGATTTTACGGTGGCTTGTCATTGTTTTAATTGGAAATTTATTTGGTTATGTTCGCAGCACTAATAACTGCGTTTTTAATTGCATATTGTTGGTAAGAGCAGATTGAGGGACTTCCGATTTGAATTACAATCTTTTTCCCAGCTGCCATGGTAATAACTTTCACGTATTATATTTCCTCAAATTAGTTTAAATCATGATATTAATTAAGTTAACGAACAAATTTTAATGAAGGCTCATTTTTGTATTGTTAATTGGCCAAACAATTTCAAGTTATGTCAGATAAATATAACTTGACTGTAAACACCTACACAAACGGATGCTAAATTTTAATAATTTACTGTACAATCTTAATGTCATAAACAATACATTTTCGATCTAGATATTTCCTATTTATAATAGTCTTAATTAACATATTGAGTATATTTTGAATGTTTAATCTCGACCTGGGTTTTGTTTTTTAATGTGGATTTCAAGATAAATGTTAGATCTATAAAATTGGGTATTTAAAATCTATATTTCAGTTGCGATGTTGTGGAAGGTTTTAACCATAAAATTTAGTTTAGATCAATTGAAATATAAATAAAGAAGAATATTAATGATATAATAAATAAATAAATGTTTTACGAATTACAATAAATAATATAGAGTATATACATGTATATGATCTTAAAAAAATCATCAAAGTTTAAAAAACATAACATTATTTGTTTGGTTTGAATTGCACTTAGCTTATGCTGCTGAGTTTTTGGGCTAAGATCTTTTTTAGCGGAGCCAGGTCGCTATTCCGGCACACTCTTCTAACCACTTGGCGTTGAGCGATGGAATGCTGGGCCTACATACAAAAGGACACGCACAATGGCACTCCAAAGGAGGAAAAATCATCCCCAATGGGGAAACTCGCGCTCGCTCTTCTCTCTCTGTCTTGCATGCTTGGGGGTTCGCATCTTCGCTCATAAAGCGTTGGAAATTATGGAAATTAATTGAAATTCCAAGGATACCGTTTGCTCTTTTGCCGAAACCAACAAATTACCATCATTATGCGAGTGCTTCCTTTCCCTCCCTTTCTTCGGTTAAACTTCGCCAAATTCAAACGTTGCCTAATTTTAGCCGCTGCGGCTTACCACCATTGTATGTGTGTGTATTGCACTTGCATTGGTATTTAATTAAGCTAATTAATTATCACAGCCATTATGTCTATGTACACAACAAAAAAAAAAACAAAGTATAATAAATGTGCTGGCGCTTTTGATTGACTGCCGGTGCACTTTACTTTCCAATGGCTCAAACATACTTTCGCCGCCCACAGCCGTTTTCCTCATTCACCCCTCGACCCTCAAAAACCACCCTATACAGGCAGCAACAACAAAAAAAGTCATATTAAAAATCATTCGCTTGTGAAGATCAAAAGCATTCTTTTTCACCGAAATGCCATGAAGAATGATGTTGCGTGGGATGGTAAGGGAAAGGGGATAAGGTCCGGATTTCCTGTAAGTGAGCGGCTCTCTCACTACCATGTTGTTGTTGTTGCTGCCTCTGCTGCTCTCAAGTATTCAACCAAAAATGCACGGTACACACACTCGTATGCACCTACATGGCGTCTGCCTACCTACACTAAGGGAAACAGATAAACATAGAGGGTCGAAACACTAAAAACAATTTAGTTATAATACAGTTAATTATAAAATATTTTATGAAAGAAAAGTATAAAAAATATATTGTTGGCCCCTGACAAAGCTCGACTTTTTTTGGTTTTTAAGATTAAATATTTCCATTTTTAAAGGAGTGACCTTAGATGTTTCCCCAACTTAACGGATTTAGTTAAGCGATTAAATAAGATCAAGCTAAATAAATTGATAGATTATTTATAGTTTATTTTCTATTTTATTTTCATTTTAAATTAGCTTTATTTTTGAAGTGTGCCAGTAACACATTGTAACCTTACATGAACGTGTGTATGCGTAAGTTCGTTTATTTATTTATGGTTTTTTCGCATTCAACCACCAACAACAAGCGAAATTTCATCCTTATATACATATATATAAATATTGCTCGGCCCTGTGCACATTTATTAAATATTATTGCTCTTGTTTTGCGCTCTACTTGACTTTTTTTATTGCCCATCAATGGGAAGTGGGCGAATAACTGTTCTGCTTCCCTTTCTTTTCTTGTCCTCCCCCTGCACATTTTCTTCATCTTTATAGGGCTGGTGTATATAATTGGTACTGGTTGTTCCTGGTTATTGCCTTGTTGGTTGTTGTTGCTCTTGTGCTGCCATTGTAACGTTTATTAATTTTAATGGCTGGCATCAAATGAATAACGGTTAATCAATATGTGGTCTGCCACCACTTTCAAAAATCTCTGAGAGATAAATAAAAACACGATGGAAATAATTTAATATTTGAATTGAAAGTAAGAACATACTTAAATTTCTAAAATTATACAGATTGGAATTATTTTAGTCTGGAAAAACAAAATTAAAATACAGGTTAATTTAAAAAAACATAATTTTAGAGATGAAATATTTATTTACTTTAATATATTATATTCTACAAAAATTGATTTATTTTAAGATGCGAACCAAAAAAAAAAATTGGAAAACGCCTAACCAATTTAATTGAAACAAGAAAGGAAAGCTAACTTCGGGCGGAGCCGAATTTGATATAGCCTTGCAGAATATTTTGTGAGTTATGGCATTTCCGATCAATCAGTTATATTGCGGCGAAAGGATATAGTCGGCCGATCCTTATGTCGGATTGATTAGCCAAATATAAAATCCATACAAAATCCCAACTTCCTAGATTTAAAAACACCAACGTTATGGCATTTCTGATCGTTCGGGCTTATGGTCGGCCGATCCTTATGCAATTTGGTATAAAGCCCATAGGAAATCGCAACTTCCTAACTTTACAAACACCAAAGTTATGGCATTTCCGATCAATCAGTTATATGGCGGCTACAAGATATAGTCGGCCGATTCTTTTGAAATTTTTTTTAATAAGCAAATTATAATACCCTCTGAAAGGATATAAAGAAGACAATAATTTAATTCGCAATGGACAGTTTTAATTTTAAAGAAAGTAGCATTGACCTAAGTAATTAAGCACGGAAATCCAGCCACAACGCAAACATTCTGTTTTGAGTCAATGGTTACCGAAAGCAGGTCTAAGAATCGAACATAAATCAGTAGGCGATTATTAAAACCCCCTCCATCCTAATTAGATGCGCCCATGAAGCATCTGCACCTGCACCCGAAGCCGAACAATCGCATTTTCCACAGTTCCCATGGACTGCACGCTGTAATCGCATTTCCGCATTGTCGCAACTTGCGGCACAAATAAACCACCCCGCCAGTTAGCGACTCCGGATTCGAGTACGGATTCCCGGCTAAAGCCATCATCAAGTGGCACAAATTACAGATCAAACAGGCAGTCAGTCGAGGGGTGAATGTGGATGAAGGGGCATCGTTGTTTTGGGTGACCATTTGTCAAGAAGGTTGACAACATTACGCTGGAAATTAAATAGCGTAATAAAAGGGTGACTTAATTTGTTTTTTGCCCAAGCGGCGGACGCAGCCACTTGCCATACGATAAGATGAGCTGTGAACACGTGTTTGCTTTCTAATAAAATATATTTCTTTATATTTAGAGAGATGCCTGCCTTTTATAGGCCGCCTAGCCAGGATATTGAAATTGTTGGCATTGTCAACCCCTCGTCCGCGACAGTTAAAACGACAATTACGTGTGTCTAATAAAGGATAACGGAGATCCAGATTAGAAACCAGAAACTGGAAACCCGGACGGGGAGCTTAGATTTAAGTAGCTGATAATCCTGATATTGACGCGTGACGGACCATTCCCCGGTATTTTAATAACAATAAAAGTCAGCTTTTTATCACCGGCAACAAAGTTCACTTAACAATGTTTATCCAAAAGGGATTAATAATGTACAAATAACAAATCACTTACAAATAGGTTTTTAATTGTATATTAAATGTATGTCAATATAAGCTTTAAACGAAACAACATTCTTACTTCGTAAAGGTTTTTTGCTTAATACAACATTGTTTTTATAGTGACTAGTATAACATTAAATCCCCCTTTCTATGGAAAGAAGATTAAATTGAGAGTTGGAATTTTTAAGTATGTGTGGTAACTTAAAATCCATGATGAAACATTACATCTAACATATAACGTATTTTATTCTTCTTACTTTATTCTTGTAATCCTAGATAGCTAGCACTACATAATTGTAGATTATATAAATTTGAGTATAACAAACCTTTTAACCGAGATGATTAAGAAAGTATACTCCCTAATAAAAATGTTTGTGGCTTAATGTTAAGAAACTACATAGTGTTAATCTAAATATCCACCATTCGCGAGACACCCCACAAATCAGCGCTGAGAAGTATGCTCCAAATTTCGCCCAAGTTGTTCCGACGCACACTAATAAGTTAATCAAACTAATTGCAGAGAAGGAGGCCACTAACTGCAATCGTAAAGAGAAGGGGGAGAAAATATTTCCGTTGCCAGTTAGCAGCTATAAATTCCGCACATGCCCCGCCCCCGCCCCCACCGCAACCCCTTCAACCGAACTCACCCCATTCGAAGGCCCTAAGTATGCTGTAAGCCATGAAAAGGGTTGTTCCTTCTGGTAGCTTGTTGTCTGCTTTGGAATTTCGAAGAAACGGCTGCTTTTCCTGTGACACGAACATGTTAATTGCCCCCGCCCGACGTTGTCAGATTCAGGATTCGTTTCCCTCTTCAGCTTTCGCCAAAGTCACAACTTGTTACACAAAGTTCTTAATAATTGACGCACTCTTTGGTTCTCTTGTTTTTTAATTAAAAGTCCAGAGCGAGTTGCAAGGAGGGATTGTGAAACGTTATGGTTATGACCATTGACCACTGGTCAGTTGAGCTTTGTTAAGCTGTCTAAATTGGCTAAAGAGCTTGAACTCTTTGGCATCTCCGGTCACTTGGCAACAATCAACGCACACAGGACTCTGAACTGGAGGAATGATGAAAAAAAACCTTTTTGATGTGTTACATACGGGGGCGACTTTATTCATTAGTCAACTTTTCTCCAATCCATGTGGCAAAAAGAGCCAAAAACTTAAGGGGATAAACAATGAAATAAAAACGTCATATATAAACGGCAGCATGTTTCTTTGATGCATAATTACAAGGATTTTGACATTCTTATTACTTGCATTCTATGGCTTTAACAAAAAGAATTCTTTAAATAACATTTTCTCAAATTATAAATATCAGTTAGAATGCTTCGTAGAATAAAGTTTTATTTTGCCATGGTTGTTGAGTTTTAACTTTTAAATACATAAGCTCTGAAAGTCTTCTTTGATTCTAACAAAACTATTTTTTTGGATTTGTGAATATTTTTTACTTGTACAACTTAACTAAAAATATTTAAATATTTCGTTTCCCTTGGTTTAAAAGTGAATGCTATATTTTACTTAAAGATTATACATCTAAAAGGGTTCTGATCTTCAAAACAAACAACTTGCAGTTAATAAAATGCCGTATTTATATTTATCTTAATGTTTAAAATTGTCATATTAAATATCGAATTCAGAATTAAAAAATATATTCCATTTTTTAGAATATATAAAATGGACCATTATCAAAACATTTGCTAGTATTCATATGTTTTTCTTTTTTGAACTTAACTGAGTTGCCTTACTAAATTTATCTCTAAAGATGACTAATCAAATTAAATAAAAACCTAATTTGTAGCTTAATTTATTAAACTTCACATTAATGGGCCTTTATGATTCCACAACCGTAATAGGCAGTCAGTGCCACCATTCGAGTGTCCAGATAGTTGTGCTCCACCTCACACTGCTGTCCCGGGCCACTTAAGGCGACCACCTGACTCATGTTCGCGTTCCGCGGCAGAAAGAAGGAGATGTCATTCGTTAGGCGACGGGAAAGCTTCATCAGTTGACTGGCGCCCACGGGCAGCAGACTTTTCTCTATGTCGAAGCTGGCATGTTTCTGGTAGTCGGGACCGCCCCATGGAGGACTTAGGAATACAACATTCGGGCGAATCCGAGTGCTGGCCGCAAACTGCATAAAATCGGCATGAATAAACTCGATCTTGTGGGCCACGCCGTAAATACTAGCATTATGCTTGGCCATGGCCAGCTTCTCCGCATCGATGTCCACTGCAATGACGCGTCCACAGGTGTTGGCGAACTGGATGGCATTGCCACCGCATCCACAAAAGCCATCAACGATCAGATCACAGGCCAGTCTTCGGGATGTCTGCTTGGCAATCTTCTCGGGCGTTACAGAGAACCAGCTTTCGCGGTCCAGCCGGATACCCTGGTCAAAGCGAGAAAACAAGGAGAAACGTTTAAACCAGTATTTCACCATTTGGCCGTTCTCCTCTAGCATAAACTCAGGCATGTTGGCCCTGAGTTTGTTGGCTTGCCTTTGTTTGCGCTTGTTTTTTCGAATAAAACCGCTTTGTACGCGATGTAGCGCTTGGTTTTCATTGTTTTCCATGATTAGGATATCTTCACTATCTTCACTATCGCTGCTAGAGGATTCGATTAGTGCCTTTCTTTGTTTTCGTGATTTGTAAGATGTTTTTGAGGCAAAGCTCGTGGGAAGTCCCAAAAGCAGTAACTGCTGTTCCTCGTCAAAATCTTCCGGATCGTCGTTGGCCGTCAGATAGGATTCGTCTTCCACGCTTTCAGAGGGTTTCCGCTGTTTTGACTTTGTTGGCCTTTTAGTAAGGCTTAAATTCTGTAAATCCTGTTCAATAACATCAGAAGTTCCATTCAAGTTAGTTTCAAATGATTTGGCCAATTCGTTTTGGTAGTTTTCAAAGGCACAGCTGAAAATGTGCCAGAATTTGGCACTCGAATCGCTGGCGTGCTTCTCCCACAGTTCCTGCCAGAGGTCCTGCTCCTCCGAAGTGACCGCTTCGATAAGGTCCTTGTATTCGGGAAAACCGCTTGTACCACTTTTGCTCAAGAAGCTCGTGCCCCTCACGCTGCCAGAATTCCTCCCAAGATAAGCTTTGAATGCTTTCCCAATCGCAGCTGCTCCAATTGAGATCCTCGCCAAAAAGCTGCCTGAATATGTAGAACTGCGGGTTGGTTCGGGAAGTGGTCAGGTAGTGCGTGTTCATCTCACGGTCATTCCCCTGATCTTTAACCTGAGAGTCAGCAGGTCCTCGGGTCTGTCAATAGACTGGATGAACCACAAATCAACGGCGGGCTTGTGGGTTAGTCGTAGTTTGCTGATAAACTGTTTTTGGGCAATTTGATCATGGGCCAGACTGCCAAACTGCTCGTGGACTCCACGGGCGGTCAGTGTGGGACTGTTGGGACGCAGAACATTGCATAGGACGACTTCACCGCGCACAATGCAATAGCAGCCGGTGCTTACGCGTTGTTCGATAGCCTTTTCCCGAGTGAGTCCCAAAAGAAGCACGGACACGGCGCCTTCGGGCAAGGAGTAATTCCTGAAAGAGCAGTAATTACTTAATACGAACTAATGAATATACAGCTTAGTTATACTCACTCTGGCAGGCTCCTAACACGCACGTTTTCAAGCCAAAAGTGTGCCGACTTTAACGCCAGTCGTCCAATAATTGCGCATTGGCCGTAATGCAGTCTAAGATAGCTCGTTTGTAGCTCGAGTTCCTCCACCAACAGGGTCTTGAAGGAGTGACAGTATTCAGGGGTATTTGGGGCAGCAACTACCTGCACCTGGGACATCACTTTCTTGGAAAAAGCCTCTAGAATTCCGTAAAAAATTAAATGTGAAACAAAACTGTGCACGATGGCTAGTGTGACCATCGCTAGTCAACATGATGTGGGCAGCCTATCGATATATAGTTGGTTACCTATCGATCAATTTTGTCCATCACTTAAAACAGCGGCATTTCTTGTAAACGGCATAAAAACTACAAATTTTTATTTAAAGTGGCCTAAAAGCAGTCAAAAATGTCTTTCATGAACCCCGTGGACATGGTGGATGAAGACGCTGCCGACCTGCAGTTTCCCAAAGGTAACAAACTTCGTCACTAACCGAATCCCAACTTACAAGTGAAACTGGCTGAAGAAATTTGGCTTCGAGTGCCCGAAAATCGGGGCTCCTCCACATGCTTACCACATTGAATTGTCTCTTTGCAGTTGAGCCTTTGGGGGAACATCGGTTCGCACTTGCCCGTCAAGATGGGAACACCAGGACCAACACGGTTTTGTATAGGCCGCACTCATTGCACCGGCAACTAGAGCAGCTGGAGGAAATGGCGCGGGATGAGAACAGCAGGGCTCCGTTGGCTTCAAGTGACTCCAGCCGCTGTGCCACGTGTCGTGTCAACCTAGCAGAGCCCTACATCAAGTGTTCCGAGTGCCTGGACACCGTGCTCTGTCTGCAGTGCTTCTCGCGCGGAAGAGAGGTGTCCTCGCATCGCAATAACCACGCCTACATCATAGTCCGCGACAGCATCCAGGTTTTCGCCGAGGAGCCACATTGGACGGCCCGCGATGAGCGCATCCTGCTTAAAACATTACGCACACAAGGCTATGGCAACTGGGAGGCAGTATCCCGCGCTCTCGACCAACGACATGATCCTTCGGAAGTGCAACGCCACTACCACGATTGCTATTTTGGCGGAATCTTTGAGCGCTTGCTTAAACTCCAGCATGCGAGACACTGCTACTTTCCCGAGAGAATGCCGTATGTCTTCAAAATGCGAAGTTTAGATCCACCGCGCCACGATGACATCGCTTCCATGCAGTTTAAGCTGAGTGCCGGCTATCGCTGCGCAAGAGGAGACTTTGACACTCCTTATGACACCTCCGCCGAAAGTCTTTTGTCTATTATGGTGGATCACAGAGGCAGGGATGAGGATCAGGAGGCGGTAAAGAGTAAAGCGAAACAGGAGCTAACAGAAGAACTGCAGCTGGGAGTGGTTCGGGCATACAACAATCGTCTTAGGTACAAATTATTGCTCAAATCCTTGAATTTTTAATATTTTTTTTTTAGAAAGACTTGTCTTTGTACTCGCATCTAGTTAATATCGCAATAACCAACTAATGATCCCTATTAAAACACAGAGAACGTCAACGTCGTTATAAAATCATGCGACAGCACGGCCTCATCATGCCCAATCGCACAGTCAGCTGGATTTCCAAGTATGTGCACGCCTTTAGCAGCGATGCCAGTTGTATGCGTTTCCTGGGATTCATGCAGATCTGTCCAGATCCTATTCAATTTGATCTTCTACTGGAATCCCTGCGCTATTGCCGTGAACTGCACACCCGACTACATAAGCTTTACGATCTGCGACAGCACGGCGTGCGCACTCACTCTGGAGCCAAACTATATACTCGCCTATTAAAGGAGCGTCAGCAGGTTCAGCGGGATTACGGGAGGCAGAAGCACATGGATGCCTTCGACTGGCAGCATTTGGTGCAGCACTACGAGATCAACAGGAACGGAGAGCAGTTGCCGCTGGGGATTAGTTCAAAGTTGTATGCCCTAAACACACGCCGAAAGGCCAGTCCAATTGAGATTGGAGGTAAAAAACTTACACAGCCTATTCGAAAAGCCGCTAACTAATTTTGCTTTTTGATCCCCAGATCTGCCTGGTTACTCCAAGCTCGATGAAGGCGAGCGAAAGCTGTGCAGTGTGGCTCGCCTAGTTCCACAATCGTATCTGGACTACAAGAGTCAATTAGTTACGGAGCACGCTAAGCTCGGATATCTGCGTCTAGCCGATGCGCGACGGCTCATTAAAATAGACGTGAACAAAACACGTCAGATCTACGATTTCCTGTTAGAACACGGCCACATTAGCAGGCCGCCATCCTACGGCTAGCTCTTAATTTCTCTCCAAAGTTTCACTTGTAAATTGCGTATATTGCATTTCCTTCTAGCTGCTAACAAGACCTGTTCGCTCTGTGTTAATTCCAGAATTCGAGAATGCCGAGACGCTGCTGATATCGGAGGTGCACATGCTGCTTGATCATCGAAAACGCCAGAACGAATCAGCCGATGAGGAGCAGGAGTTCTCTGAGGTCTTCATGAAGACATACGCCTACACGGATAGTTTTCGGAAGTTTAAAAACAAGGAAACCATAATGTCTGTTCGAAGGTAATTTACAGCCATTGATGTATACCCATTTTGTTAGCTATGTTAATTTATTTTATATCTTTGCAGCTTGCTAATGCAGAAAAAGCTGCACAAATTCGAACTGGCCGCTCTGGGTAATTTATGTCCCGAGGCGCCAGAAGAGGCCAAGGCACTGATTCCTTCTCTGGAAGGTCGTTTCGAGGATGAAGAGCTGCGCCAAATACTTGACGATATCGGCACTAAACGCAGCTTACAATACTAATCCCTTCGAATAATTATAGCATAGGTATACAATAATGGTCTTGATATAAAATAAAGTCAAGAAATTTATATGATATATGCTTTCTTTTATCACGAATTTTAATAGTTTTATCTAAAAGAAAACTGACATTTATTATTTTTAATTAGAAAGCGACAGAGCATTGCTTAATTTTATTATTCCATAAATAAAATCATGTATGAGATGGTCTCGGAAGTAAAGTTGAACATTATTTGTTAACAGAAAGAAAATATATCATAGTTTGAATTAAACGATTTAATAAATAGTCGGAATCCTGGCCAGTGTTGACGAACTCAAAGAGTTTCCCACGAAAATTATCGATATTTTTGCATGTCTGGCAACCACCTGAAATAGCCGCATTTGTTTTCTTTTTACAGAAATTATTTCAAACAAAAAACATTTTAAAATGAACAAGGATAACTCCAGCATGCAGATGGACCCTCAGCTGGCCCTGCGTCTGCTGGCCGACGGCGGGGTCCTGGCTATTGCAGGTGTCCCCGAGGGCACGGAATTTGGTATTGATTTGTGTGCCTACACCATTGGTCCGGATTTCCGTGGCGTCAAAATGATTCCGCCCGGTGTCCACTACGTGTGGTGCTCCTCCCGTGGTCCCTACGGTGATGCTGCACCTCGCGTTGGATTTGTACACTTCTTCCATCCCAACGAGATTGTGGTGCGCGAGTGGGACCACGAGCTAGAAGAACTTCGTCCGCGGCGGATTGCCGAACCGGAGGTGGAGCGGGACAGGATAAGGAAGAACCTGGCCCAACTGGAACGGGTCCTGGCGCCCTATGACTACCGCTATGTGGTCCCGTGGAAAGAGCTGACCGGCAGCGTGACGGAGCCGTGTGTTCAGCGTTGTCGTCCTGCCGAAGGAACCATTCGCACGAACATCGAACTGCAGTCCTGCCCGGATGCGGAACGTCCCAGAGGAGGAGCGGGAACGAGCAGCATTACTCGACGGAATGCTGCTGCCCGGCTACTCTTGGATGAAAGCGAACTCCTGCCGAACTTGAAACCCGTGGAGGGTACTGCTCCGCGCTTTAGTAACGTACCTCAGCGTGTTCCTCACGATGCCCTACCCGCAGATGTGTCCCGGCACGCCATGGACTGCATAGAAGCTGTGGACAAGGTGATCAAAGGCTTCGACTCCGCAGACGGACTCATTGAGGAGCTGCAGCTGGCCTACGTATTTTTCCTAGTGGGCTACTCCGTGGAGTCTCTAGCACATTGGCGTAAGCTTCTTGGCGTGTTGGCTCACTCAGAATCGGCGGTGACCAAACACAAACTGACGTACATGAAGTACAGCGAGGTACTGTCCCATCAGCTGCCCCACTTGCCCGAGGAGCTCATGGTGCCCAGTCCTCACAATACGGTTTACAAAGATGTACGCGAGCTGCTGGTCAATCTGCATGCGGGCGGTCTGAGCGTCAGTGCAGAGCGACTGACCAAGCGACTGGAGAAAAAACTGGGCTGGCAATTTGATGGGCTTCTGGACGAGGATCCCGAGGACCAACCCGTTGTTATCGAACTTCCAGAACCCTAGGGAAACAGAACTAAGCGCATGTAAACTGTAATTCATATATATTTGTAATACAACGGACTGAAGCTGATCTATTTGATTTTAGCGCAGCGAGTGCTGGGTGCGCAAATAGTTCCACAAGTCTCGGGCCGTGCGGATGCTAACCATGAATTGGCACAACTTGGTCTCAATCAGGCAGAGAATCAAAAACTTGGCTCGCTTGTCCTTCAGCAGGGACTGCAACGAGGATGCAGCATAGAAAAGGATTTGCTAAATACTTCTGTGGATCACTGACCTCTTCGTTGTTCTCGGGACCATTCTCCACCACTGTCCAGAGTTCTTCGGACTCTAGATACGCCCGCACCGTCATCGACCAGGCCTTGTAGTTGTCCAAACCCTTGAGCTTCTCGATTTGCAGCTGCAATGCCATCTCCAAGACTCGAGCAACGTTTTGCAACTAAATAGCAGTTGAGCCCTTTGCTGTTTCTCAGCCTTTGCCTCTTCCAGTTGCAGTCCAGATTTTCAAATATAGATATCTAAGCATTTGTATATGTATATGGCTTTTCCATTGTGCCCATCAGTAGGCAGAAAACAATAGCCACTAGACCCAATTTTCTTGTTGCTTCTGGCCCAGCGAGAGTGCTGGCCAAATGACATTGAGCTTAAGTGGACACTTGTGATTTGACGCAGAAGCGTCGTCGTTTTCTTTTCTGTCCCTATTTTTTACTTAGCAAGAATGCCGATTTAGTTTGACGCATATTGTTTTCGAGCACCAGCAGTGCACTTTCAGAGCTTACATCCTTTAGATGCAGCAATATTGCCGAAGTATAAATAAAGTTTTACCTGTGAACTAATTAACAATCGATAGATACCATCAAAAATATGAACGAATAAAATGTAATTGCAGATGAGAAAAAAGTATAAGTGCTCTGTTTAAAATCTGCAGTCTCACCTAAATGGTATCGGTAGCAGATATGATCATAAGATTTAACACTGATAAATAAAAAATAAAAGCTTGCTTAATAAGACTTTCTCTGTATCAATATCAATATGTCTAGATATTAGTCGGCGACCTTCGTAAAAATATTTTAACTATCTATTAAAGACTTGTCTGTGACGATAAAGCAAAACTTCCGCTCCCTTCTAAACACAAATATTGCGCTGATTGGCTCTGTCCATATTTCACAACCCCATAAACACACGAGCCCGAAACTCAATTAATAATAAATTGTGATGCCCAATTGTTTTTTTTATGATTTTTATTTGAAATGAATACGAATGTCAGTTTTAGCTGCTGGTTTCTTGTATTGCTCTTGTTGTTTTGTCCAAGAATGTTGCGGTTGTTGTTGCTGTGGCTGATTTATGCTTTATTAACTTTCTGCACGGGCCTTTTCTTTTTTGCGTCTGCGAAATATTAGTCTGCCTTCTTTTTTGCGCGCCTCATTTATCAAACAAAAAAAGAAGAGCTGTGAAAGACCTCGTGAGAAAATTCTCCTGTATCTGCTCTTCACGTCATTCTATTTTCTTTCGCTAATCACGCAAACACGCTACAGATAATGCTGCCGTTGATTTGTTCTTGTAAGAGCTTTCTTTTTAGTCGATTTAAGCTAATTCAAATGATATTTCGTCTGTTGCAGTTTCTGTTTCTGTCCAGGGATTAGGGGATTCTGTTTAAATGCTGAGGGAATTTTGGAAAGGGGTTTGGAGTTGTTAGTTTCGGGTGAAAAGTTCGAAATCTCTACAAATTACATAAGTGGTAGGCATAGAAAATATACAAGTATATATGTATACAATATATATATGTACCGTTGTTTTGTTTTTTTGTATTCTTTTTGTTTCTTGTATTTAGCAACTACAAATACTTTTCTATATTATTAATATGTTTTCTTTGTTGCGCAAGGTAAGAGATGATGAGAAAAATTGTTGCGATTGCGATGAAGAACACAAAACGAAAAGCAAAAAAAAAATTAACCAATTTTTTCCCGTTCGATTTTTTGGATTTGACCAAAATGGGTGTGTGTAAGTGAGTGAGAGAGCAAGGAAATATCAATAGAAAACAAACGGCTCGTATGCGTAATTTGGGTGCCTGTGTTTGTGTGTGCGTGTGGGATAAAGTATGTGTTTGCGAGTGTGTTGGTGTTTGAACAGTACACCTACATACATACAAATTTAAGCTTAAAGAATTCGTTTTGAATTTCCCTTAACTAACATTCCTTTTTCTCATTTAATATAGTTATTAGCTTTATTTGCGTCTTTCATTCTGTTTGCTCATTTCGTTTCGTTTACTCCTTTTACTTTTTATTCTTGTATTAAATTTAAATTAATTGCTGTATTTTTTCCTTACATTTTCGACTTTATGTTTTACTTTTACGTTTGCGCTTATTTAATCGTTTTCGTTTTTATTTCCTCGTTCTCACGTTTATTATTGGCTTAAAATTAAAGTTGTATTTTATGTGTGGCTGTTGTTTTTAAAGTTTAAAAATTAATGCATGCCAACTCGATGAAATTTGCTTTGTGATTTACTCGTGTGATTGTTTCTCAATTTTCGTTAAGTGTCTGACTTTTGTTATTTTTTTGTTTGATTTGTGGTTTAAATGAAGTTTATTTGTTTTGTTTTTTGCTTCTCATAATTAAATATAATATTTATTTAAATATAATATAATGCTTTGTTTCTCGAATGCAAAAATTTCAAATGTAGTAGAGTTGATGTTGCAGTTTTCTAACGTGGGAGAAGCCACGGCGCAGGACGACGACAAAAACTAGTGCCGCGAATTCTTTATGTTGCTTTTCTTGCCACAGCAGTAGCCACGCCACGCCCACCAGGCCGCCCAATTTTCAAACATTTTGTTTGGTTTTTTTTCTGTTTTTGTGCTGTTGTTTTCCATGTTGTTTATTGTTGATGAAATATTGTTGCTTGCAGGTTTGCTTGTTGTTTTTTATGATGCTGCTGCTACATTTATCCTCGTCTGCTATTGTTGCCGTTCGTTGATTGCGGATGTTGTTGTTGCTGCCGTGTTGCTTCCGCGTTGTGGTTGATGTTGCTGTCGTGTTCTTGTTGTTGTTGTATGCATATATATTATATGGTATTATATTTACTTTAGAAGGTATATAATGTGTTTTAAATGGAAGGGCGGGGGTTTACTTAAATTACGACACATCCTGATCCTCAACATCCTGGATTTCTGCTTTGGGCTCGCCATCACCTGCGTTGGGGTCTACTTCTTAGTATAACATTTAGAACTTAATAACGGAGGCGATCAAATGGGTGTATTTATGACTTACCTTCTGCCTGCATATCGGACGTCCATAATGTGAGGTTGTCCCGCAGCAGCTGCATGATGAGTGTCGAGTCTTTGTAGCTCTCTTCACTCAGCGTATCCAACTCGGCAATGGCATCATCGAAAGCGGCTTTCGCCAATCGGCAAGCGCGGTCCGGCGAGTTGAGTATCTCATAGTAGAACACCTGTGTTAATCCAAAATATCGAAATGTAAGAAAATGTTTTGAAGCGGCAAGATTAAATAAGATCTCACCGAGAAGTTCAATGCCAAGCCCAAGCGGATGGGGTGTGTTGGGGGCAGATCGTTCATGGCTATATCGCTGGCCGCCTTGTAGGCAATCAGCGAATTCTCCGCCGCATCCTTGCGATCCGAACCGGTGGCGAACTCTGCCAGGTAGCGATGGTAGTCGCCCTTCATCTTATAGTAGAATACTTTGCTTTCGCCGGATGTGGCGCATGGAATGAGATGCTTCTCAAGCACGTTCAGTATATCCGAGCAGATGTCGCGCAGCTCCTTCTCCACCTGACCCCGATAGGTTTTGATCATCTCCAATTTCTCCTCGGCCCCCTTGTTCTCCTCCTTCTGTTCGATCGAGGTAATGATGCGCCACGAGGCACGGCGTGCTCCGATCACATTCTTGTACGCCACCGACAGCAGGTTTCGCTCCTCGACAGTCAGCTCGACGTCCATGGAGGCGACCTTCTTCATGGCCTCCACCATTTCTGAAAAGGACAATATTTGCTTATTAGAATAAAAGATTAACAAAGCTGCCACTCAAAGTAAAAAACCTGGCGATGCTGAACAAATTGTATTTCTTGTCCATATTCTTTAAACCATCAGAGAATTCATTGCTTTTAAATTGTTAACATAATTAATAAATTAATGGTTTTTAATAAATAATCGACTCCTAGCATATTCTGTAAAATAAATTACTTTCTCATTTCCAATTTGTCAAAGCTGACTCAGAAGAATTTTTGAATTATTAATCATAAAACCTTAATAACAAAATACAAATTTTATATTACTACAATGATAAGTGCATTTCTCTGAAAACTTGTTTACCATAGTTGGAGTAGATAGTTTGTAAACAAATAATATTAAAATACTATTCGTTTAGAACCACACGTTTTACAACTCGGTGTTCTATGATAGAATGACGGCATAAACAATGTTTGTTAAAAAAAATTAAATGATTTAATTTAACCAACTCTGTGAAATCTTTCCTAAAATAAAATGAAAGGTTTACCCAAGATCTGAAATGTATGGTATCTAAGATTTCCCTTTGTCCCTGCCATCCGCGTCTAGTCTTCCTCTTTTTCCTTATCAGCGACACGCCCAATCCACAATGATATATAAGTTATGCGTATATATTTATTCATAACTGGGCGTTGCGTCTACGCCCGATTTAACCGATTCTGTCATACGGGCCACCCAATCACCTTGTGATAACGGTTTCCGCCACATTGGTGCACCCGTCTACTGGACCCATCAGGCAATTCTATCTTTCTGTGCATCACCATTCCAAAACTGCGTCATGAATCACATGCTCGGAACTCCATTCAGAAAAAAGGAAGATTGATATCAAATCACGGAACTTGGTCAAGTTAAAAAGATAAAGTTTACGTTTTTCATTTCCTTAAATCAAAATAAATTTATAATATATTAGATGGCTTAAGAAAATATTGAAACAACAGGGCAAGTTAAAATGTCTCCACTAAAAAGTGTTTGAAAGTAATGACTTAATTATCTGGTTTAAAAATATATATCATAATCAAACTGATCAACAAGCCATATTAACGTTTTCTTTTTGTGAAGTCTGGTGAAAAGCAGATGCAGATTACCTTGCTCGGATGTATTAGGTTGATAACAATATAATGTAGTGCTAAAAACATTGTAATTGTAGCGCTTTTTGTTTCCTTTGCTGACTTGCACTTGCTGCTTTCTCACTCGTACCCATTGCCCTAGTCAGCTGCTGACGTATTTCGCACTCAGACACCCGCACAACTCCTACACACACAGCGGGACATTTGCCGACTGTCTGTGTGCTTGTTGTTGTAGCACGTATTTGTGAAAAATTGCCAATAAAGTTGCATGATTCACGAATTTTTGCGCTTTTGGTTGAACTTAAAATTGTTGTTTGCATTGGCGAGTGTTGTACGAAACAAATATAATAGATGCATTGCATTAAATGCTCACGCATTTCTCAACACCGCCGCCAAGGCTAAAAAATGAACTTGAGAGAAGATAAGAAAACATGGTGAGATGGGCGGTGGGTTTTTGGGAGCCTCCCAGCTTTAAAAGTATACAGCACATGTTGCTTAGTAGTAATCCACTACCAATTATGAGACATGCGCGTCAGCCCAGTCACTAAATATTATACATATAGAAAAGCGAAAATCAATAAATGCGGCCCAAAAAAAAGTTCCAGCGGTCATGATAATTTATATTATAATATTTTGTTTCTAGACATATTTTTAAAGATTTAGCTAGTTAATAAATAACAAATAATTCCATTATTTTTTTTTTAAAACATTACTAATTATTTTTATAGAATTTTCTAGATAAAGATAAATATTACGTCAGGATTGTTAATGAATCGGTTTGTAAAACTTGAGAGATACAAATATAAAAGCGTTAGTTTCGAACAAAGTTACTGGAAGCATGTATTTATGAAATATGTGACAGCCCTGTTGGGCGCCGAAAAAGAAGCTCACCACCACCCACTGACGCACCACCCGAAAACCGGAAAAAAAAGTCACGCGAGCTGGAATAAAAGATTAAGTCAAAAGAAGGCCTAAAAGGAAATGGCAGGAGTTGCCTCCCACAAACCTCTACCCCTCCCCTCCCCCAGCCAACCAAACTACCCCCTCCCTTATCAGTCGCCTGTGAGAGTGTGGGTGTGTCTGGCGCTTGTGTGTGAGTGACATAAGGGCGCAGCAGCTGAAAAAACATGCGCACATACCGTTACAGCGAGCAGAAGTGTAATTAGACAAAGGAAATGCCAACAACAGAGGCGGAGGACCGTCTAAATGGTGCAATTTAAGCAAAAAATGAGCAACAAACAAAGCCACCCCCTTCTCACCCACCGCCCATCAATCAACTTTATGTATGCTATATTTTTTTTCGCATATTGACGACATTGACGAGAACGAACATCAACGGAAAAAGCAGCGCGCGACCTCGAAAAAAATGTAGATAGAACGCCGACAATGAGAAAGAGGGAGGGGGCAGCACCTGAGAAAGCACACTTAAAGGCTGACGTTAATGTGGGTATAAAAAGGGGGGTGCAGGGGCGGAGGCAAAAGGGGCGGAGGGCGAGGCAGGTTCAGATTGGGGGCGCAGACATTGCCGGCTGGCGGCTCTGCTCTCTTGTATGCGCCTGTGTTGGTGCTCCAGCATGAGCCCCTCCAAAAATGTCCGAGTGCGACAAGGCCAACGCCAAGTGCTCCAAACCCACACACAGATAGTCACACGCAGGCGAAAATAAGAAGACAAACATCCCTGCAGTTCCGAAATTCATCACAAAATTCATCACTGTTATCAGCAGCGGACCGACGCCGGCAGAGCCAGGCAAGTCGGCGAGCCGAGAGCGACGCAGGCAGAGCCGAAACTCTCAGTCCCCGATCGTAGGCAACGCAGAAAATTTTCCTTTTCCTTTTTTTCCTCTCCCTAAATGGTGGGTGGGGTATGTATTAAATTAGATCGACCTTTATAACCCTTGAAATAAATTGTATGTTTTGTATTGTAGTCGTTGATTCTTATTAATTATATTATTTTATGGAAATACTTTTTAAAAATAAAATTATTTGATGTTTTGAGGTATTGCTTTTTAAGTGAATTTAAGTTATGTGATTATTTTTATAGTCGACATGTTTTATATCCCTGCTTTGACGCGAGCAAACATGAGAATTAGGCGAGGAAGAACAATGGATTAACGGCGCCTTGTTTTATGAGTTGTTTTGGGTTTTTAGACTTGCTTTGGAGGAACGATCAAGCTGTTTTTGTGAATTTATAACTAATTTATGAATTTGGTAGAGTTATTTTATTAATTATTTTGGTGTACCTAAATATACTGTTATATATTTATTCATTATTTAAGGGAGCTTATATAAACTGTTGGGATTACTAGCTGGACTTTGCGGCGGCAAACAGAAACGCGTAGTTTTATATATTTTATAATAATTTTTTATTTTAGATATACTTGGTCGAAGGCCGTACATAAGACGAGTAAAAATGGCACGGAAACCGAAACATCCTCACACCTCCGAGACAACTGAAACGTACATATGTGATTGAATTAAGATAAATTAATTAGTTTATGTAATGAAATAAATGAAATATATGAAATATTGTAATAAATAAAAATGAAATTTATATGAAATTTACTGAATGAATTTTACTGATGAAAAAGGATGAAAGGATGAATGCGATAAGCGATGAATGGATGAAAGGATGAATTCTGATTAAGGTGATGAATTATGTTAGGTGATGAATACTGATGAATGTGATAATTATCACTTAATGTATACTGTATCTTTATGCATTATCTGTGTGTTGTAACGCTGTTAGTGATGAATTACTGATTAAGAGTGATGAAATTAAGGATATTACTGATTAGGTGATTTTTTCCTGGTTAATCCTATTGTGATTGTTTGGGGGGATGTGATACAGACACAAATATCACAAATGCATGTTTGTGTGTGCCAACAGCAGTGGCTGCTAATAGTTGATTGACTTCTTTGCCGCCGCCCGTTAATGTTGTCAGTTTTGCAGGCAATTAGTAGTAGAGTACTGTTGCAATTACTGCTGCCAGCGTACAGCAACAAAAAGAAACAATTTTCGTTAACTTTTCACAGACACTGTGTGAGTGCAGCGTCAACAGCCAGCCACACTAGTTATCTCGTTTTAACGCACGTAGCGGCAATGGCAATTGGTTAAGCGCGCGCTTTTTGCAAATGCCGAATTTTCCGTCCCCCTTCCTCCTCGTTTATCTTTAAATTTGGAGCTGCTTTTTAATTAATTGAAGTATTTTTAATTAAATATAAGCAACAACTATAAAAAAAACCGCCCGGCGACCACTCATCCGCACACGCATACTCTCTCACACACGCATACATGCGCATAGGCATGAGTAATGCGAGAGCAACAGAAAAGTTATATATTTTTTGCACTATCAGACAGGGTTGCCAAGTAGCTGGAGAACTGTTTGCGACAAGCCGAAACTAATTTGCATAAAAAAAGAATTAAGAAAATCCAGGTGAGAGAGGGGGAATTCGAGGAAAGAGCGAGAAGGCGGCCGGCGACAACTCTGCGACACAATCGATTCATTCATCGATTTTTCGCAGCAACGGCATGATGACGCGCCGTTGCTGCGCATGAAAAGCACATTTCGGGAAAAGTAGGGGGTGAAAGAGAGCCCCCTCTCTAAAAGCATTGATTTTGGGTGTGGAATAAATATATTTTATGAAAGAAAAAGAAACTGTGTCGTTTTCGTTTCTAGAAAGTTACGCCTTGACAACTGCCACTAAAAAACCCAGAAACAACTACAAACAGCCCTTAGCAACCAAGGAATAAAATGAAATGTTGCCCGTCGCGCAGCCCTCACTCCCAACGCTAAATACACAAAATTTCCCCCTCTGTACCAATAACTAATACTATTTTTCGAAAAGCCAACTTCTATTTGCTGTAAATTATAATACGCAATTCCGTTTCTTTCTCTTTTTGCGAAAACCACGCGAATTTTTGCCGGTAAAAATCAGGTTTTACACTCTTTTCATCTCTTTTTGCCTTTTCGTTCTTCCGACGCTCTGCTTCTTCTTCTCCGTGTTCCTCCTCCTCTCGTCTTTCGTTTTCGCAAGAAATACTACTCATCGCGACGCTGCGTCGCTTCGGCTGCACCTACACTGATGAAAATTGAAAATTTCCATCATTTTCCCTCGGCCAGAGGTTTTGCCTCACTTTTCAATTGGCTAATTCGGACAAAAAGCATCGCTGGAGACTTTTCAGAGACCACGCGACGACGCAACGGATCAGAAATCTCGGACCCCTCCCCAAAACGTTGGCGCTCCTCTGGTGAAAAAATTTTCCCCTCTACTCACTACTCTTTTTTTTCTACCATTTTTTTTCCTGTTAATTCGGGGACTACTCACCGTCGTAGCGTTCGGCCTGTTCGGCCAGCTTTGCCTTGTACACATTGTTCTCGCGCTCAGTCATTGTGTTGAAGCCTTTTCGGTTAAATTAATCCACAGAAAAAATTATTTAAATGCTCCCGGTACGTGCGGCGTCGATTTTGCTTGCTGCTTGCTGCTTTTGATTCGTCGCCTTCTTTTTTTCTCTACTTCTCGAGCGGTGTGACCGTGTCGGGCGGCGGGTAAAACACTGAAATTTATGGGCGATGTCCCGATTAGGGCCTAAAAATGTTTTGGCGCGTGCGGTGCGCAGACGCGGGGCGGGTTGAGAGCTCGGACATCTAATTTTGAGTTTTAATTTCTTAACTGAGTTATATTACCAGTTCCAGAATATCCAATACCAACAATTCAGCTATATTAGCAGCAACTAATGTTTGTTATAATACAAGTATATCACAAATAACGTTCTTTGCAAATTAACAAGTCTTGGTGGTGAACTTTGATATAGCTGTAGCGGTGACACAGCCCATATCCCGATTTTTCGTAGATACTTGCACCGTTAAAATCTTGAATTTTTAAAATAAAAAAATGTGACCATTATTTTTGAAACGTTAAAACATAAACAAATTATAAATAAAATATTTCAGTTGGATGTTGTTAGTCGTAAATAAAGAGTTTTAGCGTAATAAATAAAAATAAGAGTGTCAAATTGTTTGAAAAACTGTCCTTCAAAGCTTTGGTCACACTGTTCCCAATGTTATTGCAAAAAAAATTGTGAAAAACGACATTTAATATGAGAAATATGTTTACAAATTAGTCCGCCAGGACCGTAGCAGGTGCAAAAATGAGTCTCAATCTGGGTGGCTGGATCCACAGCTTCACCGTGACGGACACGCAGGAGCATAAGGGGGGCTACACGATCTACAAAATCACCTCGATTGTAAGTTCGATTTGGGGCCGAGAAACTGTGTCAATTAGTAATTCCCACCCACTTTTAGGTCTTCCCGAGGTCAATACCTCAAGCTCTGACCTGCCTGGTGGTGTGGAAGCGATTCCACGACGTGAAGAGGCTGCATCGCGAGCTGAGCCGGCGGCACAAGAGCCTCCAGCTGCCCGGTAAGATACCCGTGCCCACTGACAGCTCATACTTCAAGCGATTCGATGCGGTGGTCATCCAGCGGCGCAAGGAGTACATCCTTCAGCTTCTGGACTTTGCTGCACAACATCCGGCGCTATACAAGTGCTCCACCTTCACGCAGTTCTTCCAAGAGACGCCCTCTCCAAATGGATCACCGCTAAAGAAGCTGTACGTTGAGCGATCCCTGCGTCTACAAACGTCGGAGAGTAGCTGCAGTCGAGGAGCATGTGAAGCGGGAACAGGAGCTGGAGCCATATCCGACATTTGCGATAAACTGGATTTGCTCTATGATCCGCACGATGCGGGAGGCATTACGCCTCTGGATCCGCGTTGCGATAAGGAACAATCAAACAACGATGAATCCCAAGCCAAGAAAACTATAAACAAAATGGAAACGAAACCGGAACTTAAACCGGAAGAGGCCCCTTCCAAGCGGGACTACCTCCGCCTACTTACGCCCATGGCCTCCATAGAAAGCGATGACAGCGACTACATCTACGAGGCAGCCCTGGAGTTCAGTCACGCCGTTCAAGCGGAAGTCAATCTAGAGTACGCCGAAGCCCACGAGCGCTACAAGCATGGTGTTGACTTACTGCTAAATGGAGCCAAGCAGGATGCCAACGAAGAGCGAAAGTTTATAGCCAAAGCCAAAATAGCCAAGTATTTGGCACGGGCCGAAGAGATACACGCCAACTTTTTGGCCAACAATTGTCCCACGAAGAAGCTGCAGTTCCAGCTTTCACTGGACATGACAGACGGCGGAAGTGTGACCCAGTTGGAGTGCCCCTGGAACCAGTTAGCGCGCTACAAGGTGCTACAGGTGCTCCAAGAGCGGGTGATGCAAGTGCAGTGTGTGACGAAATCTCAGCAGCCGGCGGCCATTATGAAGGGCATCGAGAAGCCAGCCAGTCACTCGCTCACCCAAAGCATATTTCTGCCCCAGCAGGTACCGTACATGGTCCAGTTGCTGGCCTACTTCCAGTCGGAGCAGAAGATCTTTCTGCTGCTGAGGCAGGCGGAGGGCGGTAGGCTGTACGATTATCTGCAAACATACACTCCCACAGGCAGCAAGTGTGTCAATTACGGGGAGCTTTTCCCCTCGGATCAGGAGCAGGATAATAAGGAAGTGGAGGAACAGCCTCTAACCGCGGATAGCGAAGTCAGCGATCTGGTGCGGAGTTCCCAACAACTGTTGAAGTCTGTAACGAACACACTGAGCAACCTGCAAGCTGGAGTTGTCACGCCCAAAAAACAAAAGCCAGATGTAAAGCGCACTCGCAGTAAACAAATTCCAGAGCAGTGTCTGCGCCAGTGGGCCTGCGAACTGGCCATTGCGATACACAGTCTGCATGGCAAGGGCGTGATCCTGCGGGATCTGCATATGTCCAACATATTGCTGGGCGCCAAGGGTCAACTGCTACTCACATATTTTTACCAGAACGAAGGTCTAAGCTCGGATGACAACTACGTTCACAAGGCTCTTAGTTTGGAGGCGTTGGCCAATCACTTTGTTGCTCCAGAGAGACCTCTGAGCTTCCGTTCGGACTGGTGGAGCTATGGCGTGGTGCTCTATCAGCTCCTCCTGGGAGTGGTAAGTTCGAATTCGATGCTGGAGAATCGCATTTTTATTAACTATTGATATTTTTCCAGCCTTACAAAGCCACACATCCAGGGCAGCTGGAACTTTATGGTTGTGTTCAGTATCCCAGTGAGTCCCTGGATTTCTCCGATCATGCTAAGGACTTGCTGGAGCAGCTGCTGCAGCTAACGCCGGAGTTTCGTTTGGACTACGACCAATTGCAAACACATCCCTTTTTCAAGGGAATAGATTGGCAAGCAGTTTTGGAACAGGGAACTGTGACCACGTGAAATTGACGTATTTTTGCTTTGACCTGAAGTTATTTTTGCTAATGAATCTTATAGGCTATAAACTTTATTGTATGTATTTTTTTATTTCTTGTACCTGATCAAACTAACAGGATAATTAAGTTAGGTTTTTTTTTGTCATTATTGAGTCTCGACTTTGGATTGATTTTCTTTCTTTAAACGAATATTTAATCCCTCACAAGCGACTATTTACTATCCTTGCTTCGAATATGACAACAAATTAAAGGATTGCCAAAAAGTTTCCCCTTCGTTTTGTTTGTAATCATTTTGTGTTGTTATTTTTTCCATTATGTGGCAGTTTTGATTATGATTATAAAAGTTATTGGTACAAAATACAATTTATTCATATGTCTATTATATACATTTGCAAAATGTCCTAGAGTATTGCTTATAAATATAAATTTAAACTAGATTAAATGTAGGTACAACAAAATTTTCAAACCGATATACAAAATGGTATGGATAAATTAGTAAGTAATAACTTTGTAAAGCCAAATGAGCTATTATACAATATAAAAAGCATTTTATTGTCTAACTACACAACAGTAAATGGGGTTTAACTTAGGCTTAAGGTAATTACAACTATGTTTGTTGGGTGACGGAAGTCCACGCTGGGAAACCACTCGTCACCCGTTTGGTAAGGCACATTTGGAATGCATTCTGGGGGCGGGGATCTCGTTTCATGAGCCCCTGACCCTTTTTAAACCTAAACTTAGACCGAACAAAAACCGTGTTAAGTTTTGGCAAGACTTGTTGATTCTGTTGTTTTTGCAACTTGCGTACTTAAACTTAAAAGGAACCTATGGCAATATGTATATGAAATAGTGGCCAGGGACTGAGTGGGACTGTCCAGAAAAACTCCGAGAGGCATTGTAGTTTGGAATTTTATGTATATCTCTGCTATTGTTTTGCGAAAAGTTAACTAAAATCAATTATATTTTCTCAATCACTGCCTATTTTTTCCTACACTGAAGTAATTTGGAAAGCAGTTAGGTTTGAAGTTCCCATGATCATTTTTGGAGATTTTATCCTTATACATTTTTCACTTAAGTAAACTGCTGATGTGGTGTAAATTCTACTAATTTTGAGATTTTAAATTTCTGAAGACCCACTTTCAGTCGGGGGAAACACAGTTTGAAATGCTGCACACTCCACGCCCCTTTTAATATGGCCGCCGGAATCTAGTGCTCGGCATGCTTGGGGGCGTGGCCCAGCGGCGCCGATGATGTTGCTGTCGCCGGTGTGTGAGCATTTCCCTTAGTGCAAAAAAGGCGGCAGGACGTAGCTCTGTGCCTGCTGCTGTTGCTGGGCGGCCTCCTCGCTTTTGATCACAGTCTGCATACTGCCGCTGTCGTTGTCATCGCTACTGGTCCCGCCTCCGGATGCTGCTCCTCCCACCGCAGTGGTGACGTAGTGCTGCCCTTGTGCCTCCACCAAATGACAGCTGGCTCCGGGACTCAGCTCCAAGCCGGCTCCACTTTGATGGCACTGGAGATGCACATACTTGGCCTCCTCGGCACTCAGGTACTTGCCGTTGAGCTGCTGTTGCTGCTGTGCCTGCTGCTGTTGTTGCTGCTGCTGCTGGTGGGCATGTACGGTGACCAGGGTGCCGTCGGGCAGCTGCTGCTGCTGCTGGGCGGTCTGCAGGTCCGCCGGCTGATAGCTTCCGCCATTGGCCACCGCCACCGCCTCCTCTCCGTTTCCGGTCACCGAACCGGCAGTGGCTCCCATTTCCATGCGCGTCGGACTGCCGTATTCGTAGTGCCGCATCGGGAACAGCTGACTTTCGTGGACATAGGCTCCGTATTGGCCGGAATAGGTGCCATACGGACTGGCCGCCGGCGAGAGCAGGCTGAACTGAGGCGTCAGCTCGTAGGGCGTCTGGTAGCTGGTCCAGCTGTCCATGCTGCCCGGCGGCGTAACTGTCGTCGTCTGCGGATAACTGGTGAACGGCGGGGCTAGAGTTCCGGGATTAAGCGTAGCCGTCGGCGGCGTGCTCGTCTTGATGTAACCCGTCTTGCGGGGCGGCTCGTGCTTGCGCCACTTGGCCCGTCGGTTCTGGAACCACACCTGCACCCGGGACTCGCTCAGATTCAGCTTGATGGCCAGCTCCTCACGGGCGAAAACGTCCGGATACGGGGCACGTTCAAAGGCGCGCTCCAACTCTTCCAACTGGTAAGCCGTAAACGTTGTTCTGAAAGACGTAATTAAAAGTGGTTGCATATGTTTTTACTATTATATTGCAAGATTTTGTTAGACCCCAACAGTTATTTCAGTACTTAAAGTATATTTAAAATTAATAAAATGTATAAAAAAAAAACCATGAAGTGCGGACTACTTAAAGCATCTTATTAGGTTGCAAAATATTTATACATTTTTCACACTTTATTTAACGGGATTATACTGAAGTGCTAAACTTGAACGATTTTTTTTTATTGAATTTTAGTTATTATATTAATCAGATATTCAACATATTTCTTTATAAAAAATGGTATGCAAGCTGTGGTTCACTGATAAGCAAAAAGTACTCGGATATAATAATTTGTGTTATGTTGGAATTTCTATATAACATGTTAATTCTGTAGAGCTTCGTTATCATTACCTATGCGTAGCCGAAGCTCATTAACAAATAATTACCCCCCAGATTGTATAGACTTCCCCCTGGGACTTCGCTATATCCTTATTTCAAATTACTCATACGTCCCGTGGCTTCCCTCATAAATAGTAAGTATATTGTGCCACATAATTTCATTGATTTCCCGTCGTTAAATTAATTAACAGAGGATAAATAAAATGTGTGCCGCCTGCTTACCTCGTTTTCTTCTTTTTGATGCCATTGGGATCGCCCTTCTTCTTACTGCTGTTGCTGTCCTTTTTCGGAGCAGGGGCAACCACGCCTCCCACTGTGACCGCCGCCCCCTGACCGCTGGCTGAGGAAGAGGAGGAGTTGGTGGTGCCATTGGTCGTTACTGCCACCCCATTGACCACCGCCGAGGAACTAGTTGGTGGCGTGACTCCTGATCCACCCGCCTCCATTTGTGAGCACATCTCATCGGGTTTCTTGAGCTTGCCCGCCGTGGATCCTCCGTTGATCATGATGGGCGAGGAGTCCTGGAGCAGGCCATCGCTGCCATGATCTAGATGATCCAAATGGTGCGGACTACCGCCGTACAGATGCTGCAATTGCTGTTGCTGTGGTTCATACTGATCCTTGGGCGACGAGGAGTAGTCCAGTTTGCCATTAAGTGGATGGTAGTCCAGGATCCCCACCAGCTGTTGTTGTTGTTGCTGGGTGCTTGAGTGCTTGTGCAGCAGGATGCCATTGTGGCTGGGCGGTGGCGTGGCCGTGTAGTGCTGATGATGTTGGTGGTGCTGCTGCTGCTCCACCAGCTTTTGGGGGGCACTAATGTACTCGTACTTTTGACTGGGCGAATAGCACCCAATCTTGTTCACAAAATCCAGCTTGGTCACATAGTTGGGTGATCCTCCGGCTCCTGATCCTCCACCTCCGTTCGGCAGGATGGTGTTGCAATCGGGCAGTCTTTGCTGTTGCTGCTGGCTGCACAGTTCGTGGACACTGCCCAGCATCACGGGATGCATGGCCGTTGAAGTGGGCATTAGTGGTTTGGCACCCAACGGATTCAGTGGACCGCCGCCAAACTCCCCGAAAATGGGATCATCGAAGCTGTCGTGCTCCATCTCTTAGATCTTTATCCTCGGTACACAATCACTATTCACAAAAACACTATCTAAACTTGGGCCAGAGCCTTCTTTAATCCATTGATCGTATTTGATTTCGATTTAATTAGCTTTGCTTTCGTTTCACTGGTGAAATTTAAATTTGCTTTTGCAAATCAGTTAATTGCATTTGGCAATAATATTACTAGTTAGTATGTTAACTATTATTCCCACTTTGATAGCTTGGATAGCCAGCCTGCTCACCGCTCGACTCTTTGGCCTTAATTGACTCGGCTACTGGCGATGATTGTCCTTTTATACCGGGGCACTAGGCAGCGCCGCAGCAGCGCCGGCAGAGCCCTGCGATTGGTCGATCCAACGGCGGCCATTTTGCTGTGCAAGCGAGACGGAGCGACTGCCCGCTGCTCTATGCACTACATGCTGGCGCGTGTGACTTTTCCTTTTCCCTCGCGATTCGGGGTGTGGTCTCCCCTACACTTTTTTTTGTTGTTTTGTTACGACTGGGTCTAGCTGCCTGGGTCCAGTTTTTGGTTTCAGCTTCGGATGCGCACGACTACCAGCAGATCCCGACTCTCTGGGAACGGAAAAAACACGGGAGTCGAGGGTCCTGGGAAAGAGATTTAATTTCTTCTGACTCGCAGTCTTGAGATAATCAAAATTTTGAAAAGTATTTTTTGTTATTTTTATTAAACCAAGATATTTTCCGCTGCCTTGTTAAAAACGATACGCTTTTATAAGATGTTCATGTTTTAGTAATTGTATTATTTTTAATTGAAAGAACTGCAACCAAAAGTGCATTATTTTGTGTGGGATCTAAACAAATACAGACTAACATTCCAATGAAACCATATATAAAGGATAGTAGAGCCAAACAGGCCACATTATTGGAAAGCTACAACTCGATATTATTTTTCAAAAACTTTGTGGGAAGATTTTTTAATTTAATAACCCTAATATCAATACAAAGTATATACAATTATCAAACTAAAGTCTTCTTGTTCAGAGATATTTTCGTTTTAGAACAACGCAACAAACATGTACAAATGACAAAAATTCCAATACATGTTTTATGTATCAGAAACAAATATAAATCATTATCCTACACTGCATTGTAGCAGATTATTTCCGCTTTAAACATGAGTGAGCCCCTCTGTTCCGTGGCCACCTCATCCGTATGGTCATTCCTAACAATCCACCTTCATTTCCACACATGTCGAACTAACAATTAACTTTTTACTCGCACCGAAAGCAAAGGAATGTCGCTGGTTGGAACCATGGTCATGGTTCCAACTGGACTTATAAGGGTGGTTCGATCCCAACTTGCAACCCCTGTAGAGGATCAACTTGGCACGCTTGCGACCTTCGTCTTCCACTTCTGGCTGTTCCCACTCCCTTCTCGTGTTCTTCCCACAGCGCGTGTCACCCTCTGAAGGATTGGCATATTCATATTCCGTTCCGGAGTTGCGTGCGACCTTTTGGCCAGATGCTGGTACTTCGATCGCGGCGAGGTGGGCACTTAGTCAGGGGCTAAGTTATGGCTCATTTGGATAGATCCGAAGATTTCACGGGGCGTTTGAATGGGAAGGAAAGAAGGACGCCGAATCATGAGGGCCGATGAAGTCAAAGAGGGTGAAAGTGGGTAAAATGATACATTTAAATAGAGATTGAGATCATTGATCTTTAAGAAAAGGAGGACTTAACATTCAATAAAATTTTATGTTGCAAATGAGATGAGTTCAAAACATTACTTGATCATTTAAAAGAAAATTATTATTCTAAATTACAAATTAGGTATATTTAAAGAGGAAAAGGCAACAAAAGCCTCCCCTTAATTAATTGTTTTCCAACACCTATTGTAAACCAAATTTAACATAATTATAAAAAATCAGAAAAACCTACTTTGTTTTTAAAGCAATTATTTTGGCCGACCGCCAAGAAATGTCTTCACAATTCAAGACAAATTTTAAATCGCTTTTCAATCCAACTGCGAAGTTCAGTCAGCAAACACAAGCCCGCATTGATCATAAAAACAGCAAATAAACTTCAGCTTCCCAGGAACCGACGAAAGATCGAAAATTTTCCCATAGTAACCACCAAAAAGAAAAAGAAAACCCATTGAATTCCGCACGGAAACTATACAAAATCTCTTTCACACAGACAGAACCGGACAATTCGATACTTTTCGGCTTTGCAGGTTCCAAAATGCGGGCAACGGAATGGACGCGGGGCACGCGATCAGAGCCGAAGGATGAAAACAAATAAATGCACCCCATACTGTGGGTACTGGGTCGCGAAACGGAATGGGAGGGATGGTCCTTGAGGGCAAAGGATCGGGGTCTTGTTGCGTGTGAATAATCAGACAATATTTTGCATTAGCCAATGCGCCATTTATGTGGGCCAGGGTTCGAGGACTCGGAGAGGCGAAATCGTGAAATAACAAGGACACAGTTGGGGAGAAAAGTCAAGCAGTGATGATACCATCTCTTGTAAGATCAAAAGTTAATTACGATTGATCCTTGAACTTAAGGAGGTTATACTATAACAAAGGTAATCATGAGGTTCCCAATCGAGTTAAAAGATATATGATCGGGGAATCTCGCAGACTGCTAATCCCATCTTAATTAACCCGAAAAAGAGTTATTAAACTGCGGGTAAGATTTTAAAAGTTAGGTGTTTATTTTACAAACACCGTTTTTCTTCAAATTGCGAAAATATATAAAATATAGCCATGACAAATTATCTTTAGTCTTTTATTCATTTGATTTTTTTATGATAGTGTTCGAACACAATCGAATTTTAAATAGAACTAGCTAAATTTAGGCAAATAAGATAAATAAAGTTATAGCATGGTAGTTTCATAACATATAGTATATTCTAAATGACATACTCCGATACACAGTTTTTTTTTTAGCAATTTCAGAAATACGGTTTTAGTTTTATAAGAATCGGAAGCCTGTATCATTTTATTTTTAAATTTTATGATTCCAAATTTTTGAAGAAAAATGCACTTTTAAGCCTATAACTATTCCTACAAATGCGATTTCAAAATAGCTACTTATAAATGATTGTGGGTTGATTCTCCAAAAATCTGCTTTTAAATCTTGATTTGAAATTTTGGTTCCAAATTTTCGATAATAATGGCTTAACAGAAAGATGAACAGGCGCTTCACGTATTTCGCTTGCTTAGAACAACATCTTAGAAAAATACTTGGTACAGTTGTCGCTGCCCGACAAAGTTAGAGCCTAAGCTTTTGAATATTTTTTCATATTTTTTCCATAACCATTAAGATACACACACTGGTAGACAGACAGACAGACAGACAGATACACTGAATGAGGGGTAGACAGATACTCAAGCCCATCGCCACCATCATCATCATCATCATCGCATCCACACTTGTCCCACCGAGATGACAGTCCATCCTCAGAAGCAAAATCAACACTAACAACAGCAGCACGTAGGAAAAATGGTTAATATTAATTTAAATCGATGTTTTGGTAATAGTCAACAATATCATATTTATACTCGTTATTTCATATAAATATATTATTCTTCGCTGACATTTTTTTGTTAAAAAGAATCCCACATTCATAAGTTAAGATCTTTAAGTATCAGCATATTATTGGCATCTATCCTCAGTCATTTAGTCTTAAAATAATTTTTTTTGAATAGACAGTAAGATCAAAAAGATGTATGCAATACTATGAGTGCTTCAGCTTATCTATATCCAAGATTAAATATTAATTAAAAGCTTTTCTTTAAGATCGGTGTAATATTTTTTAAAATTTAAAATGAGATGATCCCCGCTTTCTTTCGGTGCAGTAGCATCACCGACATTCTCTCATCCGCGGTGACAGCGACATTATCACATTGTATTACGATATCAGCGGAGACAACGACGACATTTTGTTTTGCCTTTCGACATGAACATATCTACTATATATATATCTGCTATATGTGGCAACCATTCCGTCAGTGTGCAATGTGCCATCCGTGTTTCGCCCATTCCCATTCGGGTTCTTTTGGTTCGGCGATTGTGATCAGTTCGCACAACGAAATTCCAATATGGCGGGCTGAAGCCCCGCTCACACGAACACACACATTCGCAAAGCACTGCTGTCGGAGACAGAGTCCAGAGCACCGCTCACCAATACTCACGCACCTAATTAAGCTTCGTTAAGATCAATTTAAATCCCGCATAAAATTACAAATAGTTTTTGTATTTTAGTTCCACTTCTCCCTCGGCTGTCGCTATTCGTTCTCGCTCTCAGCGTTCAGTAGAAACAAAAAAAAAAACAGAATAAAAGAAGGAAAACCTCGCCTTATGATCGTAACTACACTGAGCGATAATAACAAAGAAATGGTGGGTAAGCTAAAAAACTATTAAACATTTTCTTCAGTTAAATTATGTATAATAATATAGACTATACAAAACTTGGATTTGTAGGAAATAAATAAAACAAAAATATAGAAATTAAAAACTATATATAATAAGTATTAATAATTTAACAAATAAAAAAATATAAATATATTAATATTTTTTTTATGTATTTCTTTTGCTTTCAGTGTACATTGGCATTCTACTGCCCACGAGACAAAGTCTGCAAGTCGACCCGTAGCCGTAACCGTAAACGTATCCGAACCCGGAGCCGGGCTTTTCCCCTAGCCATCCATTCAGTATATTCTGAGCTGACAAAGACTTATAGTTTTTTCCCCATTTTCGTTTCGTTAATTTTCCATGGCACTTTGGGTCCACACTTGCCTGGTACTTACTGTTCTTGTTCTTGTCGATCTACCCCCTTCACATGATCCACAGTCGTACGGGGGGACGGATGTGAGAGGTTTTCGTATTCAGATATACGTATCTGACATCTGACCCAGACGACCAGCGACGATCACAAACGTCGACTCAAATTGGTTTATGCATTTTGCTTTCTGGTGTCTTATGAATTTGCCATCATTTTACATGAGATTTTTTTGGGCATGACTGTACCAGAGACCAGAGTTCAAGAATTGTGGAGGGAGTTCAATATTACATTTTATTTTTAAATCTGTGTGGGCCTTGAAATGATTCTGAGAGTCTTAAGACCTTTCCCATCTACATTTTTTACTTGCTTTTATACAAGGATTGATAAAACTTTTGGTAAGAATTTTTTTTTTTTTAAATATCCCTCCAGTTGATCAGAAACTATTCTTCGGATCGATGTAAATTATGTATAGCACGTTTCCTATCTATTTAAGATTAGTTAG